CAGTAAGACTTCCTTATCTGCATCTAGATAATCGCTGACCTCGAGGTGTTTTAGGCTCCAAGTCCTCATCACCAGCACTTGATTCCTCATTGTGTTCATCGTCCACGAAGGTATGCTGCCGCTCTAATGTTGTATACCATTAATTTAGTGCTAATCTATGACTCATAAAATTAGTGATTCACTCGTCTTCAAAGGCAGGCTCTTGTCACTGCGAGCGGCTACATCTGGAAGCAATTCCGCTTTTCTGCTCAGTGCATCCTCTGGTCAAAGGTGAGTGTCAAGTTCCTTTACCTCGTAGGAGGAATAAAAACTTACTGTTGGTGATTTTCCTCTGTTTCCAATGGTTGCTGCCAGCACCCGAACTTCCTAGTTGAGTTGCCGGAGAAGCTTGACGAACTTTTCTGGTCGATTTCGGCAACCAAACTGCACTTACAGGTGAGCATTGAACATCAATATTGGCATATCGTATTGCTTGCTCACCAGCGTTTTCCATAGCTTTTTCTTGGTGTTTCGAGCCTCTATCGATGCCCCGAAGGTGAGAAGCAGGCATCTCTGAGTCTGCTGATGGCCACTCACCATGAGAATTAATAGGTGTGGACATTGTACACTAGATCGAAAGGGCAGGGACGACTTAACGGTAAAGGAGTGTGAAGATGAGAGAGTGGGAGGAAGTTGAAAAGTTTGAGGGCACCGTCAAATTTGTAGTGCATTTCAACGGCGGAGGCTGTTCAACTTTATGAGCCCTGACTTTAGTTCTTGTGAGCTCATCTGTTTTTTTTTTTTTTTACCTCAGACTGACCCTCAAATGTTTTAGTATCAATTTACTAGCTTGGCCGTTGCACTGGCACCGTTTCTAACCCCCAACCCCCATCTCAGTTTCGTTTCACCTACCGAATAAACCTCCCCCCACCCCATCTCAGTCGTCTCTCAGTTTCTATCCCCCGACCCCATCTCAGTCGTCATACCCACCAACCCCATCTCAGTCGTCATCCCCCATAACAGTTTCTACCCCCGACCCCATCTCACCCACCGACCCCATCTCAGTCATAACCCCCGACCCCATCTCAGACCCCATCTCAGTCGTCGTACACACCGACCCCATCTCAGTTGTATCCCCCGACCCCATCTCAGTCGTCTACCCCATCTCAGTCGTATCCCCTGACCCCATCTCAGTCGTCTACCCCTGACCCCATCTCAGTCGTATCCCCCGACCCCATCTCAGTTGTCATCCCCTGACCCCATCTCAGTCGTCTACCCCCAACCCCATCTCAGTCGTCGTATCCCCCAACCCCATCTTAGAAATGTCGACAAAATGCCCTGCCTGTGCCCGCGACAACCTTACTGTTATTGGCCTCAGTCAACACCTTGCTAAGAGCCGTGATCCCCGTTGTCATGCGCTGTACCGGCAATCGCATACTCGTGTCAATTTGGACGAACCTCTCGATGAACCTCGCGACAAGTCTGAGGTGCCTGAGGGACCACATGCCAATATGTACGAGGAAGAAATGCAGGACTTCGAAGATGAAGTCCTGCAATCATTCGCCGAACATGATGGAAATGGCAAGCATGACGGAAATAGCAGTGATGAGGAAGATGGTAGGGAGGAGAACGAATGGGAGCCACCAGTGCAGGAGGATGAGGGATGGGCAGGGGTAGAAGTAGATGATCCTATGGACCACGACGACGGCAGTATCGACCGCGAAACGCGCCACCAGATTGAACGGCAAATCACAGATCACAATAGAGTCATCGAGTCTTATCCTGATCGTCAAGCAGGACAGCATATCGCCCAAGCCAAAATTCGAAATGTGAATGCTACATATGCTTCCAGTATCGACAACTTGAACACGGAAAATCCTTATGCTCCGTTCGCCTCTCAAATGGACTGGGAGGTTGCGCAATGGGCGAAGTTACGTGGCCCAAGCTCAACAGCATTTTCGGACTTGCTTAGTATTGATGGTGTAGGTCGTTTGTTTTAAGATTCACGGACTTGAAAGTGACTTATCTTTATTCACAGGTTAGTGAACGCCTTGGTCTGTCTTACAAAAACGCAAGGGAGCTTAATAGTATCATCGACACGCAACTTCCTGGTCGTCCGAGGTTCCGTCGTGAACAGGTCGTTGTTGCGGGCGAAGCGTTTGATATTTTCTACCGCGACATACTCAAATGTATCAAGGATCTCTACGGCAACCCAGACTTTGCCGACTTTCTTGTGTTTGCACCAGAACGCCATTACACAGACGCAGATAAAACAGTTCGGTATTTCGGCGACATGCACACAGGTAAATGGTGTTGGAGTACTCAGGTGAGCTCACACAGATTCATATCACTTGCTCAATCATTGAATTAACCTTGATATTGAACAGAAAAAGCTCGACAAACAGCGGCCAGGGGCAACTATCGTTCCCATCATCATTTCAACTGATAAAACACAAGTCACTGTGTTCCGTAACAAAACCGCATACCCTGTCTACCTTACTATCGGTAATATACCGAAAGAGATTCGTCGAAAACCGTCCCGACGCGCACAAATCCTTCTCGGGTATCTTCCCACCACACACCTTGAGCATATAACCAACAAGGCTTCACGTCGCAGAAGTTCTGCAAACCTTTATCATGCTTGCATGTCTCATATCTTGTCACCACTGGAAAAAGCTGGTCTCGATGGTCTAGTGATGCAAAGTGGGGATGGTGTCTCGCGCCATTGTCATCCTCTCTTCGCTTGCTTTGTTGGTGATTACCCCGAACAACTATTGGCTACTGGTATCAAGACTACAGAATGCCCAAAGTGTGATATCCCACCTGACGAGCTTGAGAGTAGCACAACTCCCTTCGAAATACGCGATTTTGATGCTGTTCTTGAAGCACTCGCCACAATCGACATTGGAGCCCTTGAATTTGTTCAGGCATGTCGCGAGGCGGGAATCAAGCCCATTGTCCACCCGTTTTGGGAAAAACTACCCTACGTCAACATTTTCCAAGCTGTTACAACCCGATGTCCTCCACCAATTGTATCAAGGACTCGTTAAACACCTTCTCGGTTGGCTGGCAGAGGCATGTGGATCAGCCGAGATTGATGCACGGTGTCGAAGGCTACCGCCGAACCACCAGATCCGTTTATTTATGAAAGGAATTACTAGCCTCTCTCGTCTCAGTGGCACGGAACATGCCCAGATATGCCGTTTTCTCCTTGGCATAATTATCGACATACAACTTCCTGGCAATCTAGATCCAGCTCGTCTTTTGCGAGCTGTTCGTGGCCTCCTTGATTTCTTGTACCTGGCACAGTATCCGTGTCACAGTTCCAATACATTGTCTCTGCTCGACGAAGCTCTTGCCCTCTTTCATGACAACAAGCAAATTTTTGTGGACCTCGGTATTCGCAATAATTTCAATCTTCCGAAACTTCACGCGACTCGGCACTACGCATCTATGATTCGTTTGTATGGCACCACAGATAACTACAACACAGAGTACACGGAACGTCTTCATATAGACTTTACAAAAGATGCCTATCGTGCCACTAACCACAAGGACGAGTTTGCGCAGATGACTCGGTGGCTCGAGCGCAAAGAAAAGATTGTGCGCCATGATAAATTTATTTGGTGGCAACTCAACATCAATCCCTTTACCCACCATCCTCATCCACCCGACTTGTCTTTTCGCTGCACTCAAACCTTAACGAAGCACCCAAGCGCAAAAGCAGTCCCAATCCAAAGATTGATTTCGGACTATGGAGCCATCTACTTTCGCGAAGCTCTTGCTCGGTATATTGCCCAGCAAAACCATCTCAACGAAACCCTTTCCCGTCGACGTCTTGAAGACCTGGCTGCAAATGTCGTTCTGCCATTTCGTTCAGTCGCTGTCCACCACAAGATCAAGTGGGTCTCCGTCGATGCTCAAGGACATCGTGATCCATGTGTCACCGTTGATAGTGTCCACGCTAAACCTGGTCGCGCTGGAAGCTCTCAACGAGATGATGCAGTGCCTGCGCGTTTCGATACTGCGCTTGTCAACGACGGTACTGGTGATTCTGTGGGTGTCAAAGGTAAGCTCGATATTGACTGGGTCTTACTAGTTTTACTTATACAACAAATAAATATTCAGGCTACCGCGTTGGTCAGATTCGCACCATATTCTCTATCCAACAACGAGATGCGCTGTCATTGTTCCCTCCAATGTCCCAACCTCCAAAACACCTTGCTTACATTGAATGGTTCACCCCGTTTTCTTCAATGCCAGACTCACATCATGGTATGTACAAAATTTCTCGTTTCATTCGTTCGGGCGAGAGAGTTGCTAGTGTAATCCCTGTTTCGAACATTGCTCGCAGTGTGCATCTTATACCGAAGTTTGGACCAGTCGCACCTCGTCACTGGACAAGCAACACTGTCCTCGAAGAATGTGATACTTTTTCGTTAATTGTTATATTGATAGGCATAGTTTTGTGGCCCTTAGATAGCACTCTATAATGCTGCATAATTTTTTCTATGTTATGAAGGCTAGGACATTTATGTACGTCTAGCTCTAAAATATGGCAGTTTATCTGCTTTGTTGAAATTTTCTCTAATTTATCCTAAGTTAGCACGGGAAGTTTTTCCTGATGAGGCAACAGACTGGAAAATACAAATAGAAGTCTACATTGGGTGCACATATCAGGGAGGTATACAGTTCCATAGTCTGAAATATAGAAATTTATGTTCTTGGCAACAGGCTGCACCTAGCCACGGCTTGATGCTACACGTGAAGTCATCAGATTAATGCGTTAATCAACAGGCTGGAGTACGTACGAAATTGATCATATGCCAATATAAATGAACACTATGCGCTGGTCCAAGGGCATGTCCTTGTCGTAAGCCAACGACTGGACCGCTTTGTGCAACGCTAGGGCAGCTCGCTTGGAATTCATTTTGCCATCCCGCACAAGTGTTTGTAGAATGCCTCGACTAAGCGCTGCACAGTACTATCGTCGACCTTCCATAATGTCCCAATGACACTCTTAACTCCAGCGAATTGCAGGCCAGCCGCTAGGTGTATCACTTCGTCAGGAGTATCATAGTCACCGACTGCGGTATCACAGGCAGAAAGAAATGTGAATTCATGCCAAGACAGATCTGTTTGTGTGATATCAAGGAGTGAAAGCGGCTGGTCTCGCATAAGAAAGGCTGAATGGAAGGGGTCCTCATATTTCTGTGTCCCGTGACACAAAAATGGAGCCAAGTATTCTCTCGCAGCGCGCGCAGTGCCCTCGATTTTGTTGCATCAACGCTCGTTATCTTGGTGAAGGAAACGGTTGGGGGAGGGGGTAAAAGACTCCGCACCAATTCCAGTTCAGGCTCCACACATTCCAAAGTGTGTGAAGCACTGGCTGGGCGATCCTGACCGATGGCAGCAAAGGACACTGAGAGAGACCTGTCGTGTCTGCGAGTCTTTATCAGCGCGGTAAGCGATGGTGTATATGAAGAGACGTAGAACTGTGAAAGGAACTGTCCATCTTTCCAGTACTGGCCAGCGGCGTGCAATGGCAAAAAATTGAAGACAGACGTCGGACACCACCATATTCGGGAGCGTGGTTGTGCAAATCCACCCAGATTTTCGACCACCAGGCGGACAACGTCATCCCACAACTCCGCCAAGGCTGTTGTCAACGCTGGTGTACTTCTGCGTTGGAATCTGGCCATGTCTGGAGTTTCTCAAGATTGGTAGGGAGTGGAATCTGAGTGGGAGACTGCTTGTGCAGGATAACAACGGCATCGCAAGACAACTTGCTTGCGATGAGCATGATAATAGGCCTGTCACGAGCTGCATCTTGGAGATCGGAGAATAAGGGAGGAAGGAGGAAGTGAGAAAAGCCTTTGATCTTCCGGATTTCTTCTACAGCTCGATTCCAGTCCTTCACTACACGTCTGTACCGGGCTTCTTCTGCTTCTACATCGACTCTTGGGGTTGCTTCTCGATCATTCGCAGGAGGTTTATCGAGGATGGAGCTGAGGTCTCTGAATTTCTTCACCAGGGCTGCTGCGTGATCGCCGCATGTCTGGAGGCTGTCAAGAGGTGTGCGGAGTCGTGTCATCTGGGTCCAGATGATAGTCCTGCCTTGTTCCAACAACTCAACAGCGCGACACACATCACCACTACAAAGAGCACACGATGCAGCATCCACGGCAAGTGTACTTGGGAATTCCTTCATGATATTATGACGAGACGAGACTGAAGCCGTCGTGGACATGTAAGCGTCCAGAAGTTGCACGGAAGTTGCATAAGCCTCCAGCTCAGTGGCATGTGAATGTTGACTAGCATGGCGAACCCAGCGTAGACTTGCTCGCAGGCGAGAAAGCGAGCCTCCGGAAACAACATTTGCTGTTGCCTTGAGATGATGCATCGCAGAATTTAGACTGTCAGTATCTTCGCCTGCTCTGGTGCCGTCAAGCCCCGAATGATGGAATGCTAGATAGACTCTAGCTAGCGAGTTATGAACTACTAATTGACGAGGATCATGTTGCGTCAACAGAGTCAATGCACAGCATAGATTCTCTCGTGACTCGTCGAGGTCTTCTCTATTGCCTCGGTGCTCAAAGCGGGAGGAGAGTTGATTCGCAAGGTAATTTAATGACATGGACCGATCTGTGTGACCGACCGGGCGCAAAGCCAGCGCTTCCCTGTGAAGTGCGATAGCCTGATCCAAGTCTTCGTCATTGCCTTGGTGCGAAAAGCGGGAGCAGAGTTGATTCGCAAGGTTATTTAATGACATGGACCGATCTGTGTGACCGACCAGGGTGCAAAGCCAGTGCTTCCCTCTGAAGTGCGATAGCCTGATCCAAGTCTTTGTCATTGCCTCGGTGCTCAAAGCGGGAGGAGAGTCGATTCGCAAGGTTACTTTAATGACGAGGACCGATTTGTGTGACCGACCGGGCACAAAGCCAGTGCTTCCCTCTGAAGTGCGATAGCCTGATCCAAGTCTTCGTCATTGCCTCGGTGCCTAAAGCGGGAGGAGAGTTCATTGGCAAGGTTATTTAATAACATGGACTGATCTGTGTGACCGACCGGGTGCAAAGCCAGCGCTTCCCTGTGAAGTACTATAGCCTGGTCCAAGTCTTCGTCATTGCCTCAGTGCTCAAAGCGGGAGGAGAGTTGATTCGCAAGGTTATTTAATGACGAGGACCAATTTGTGTGACCGACCGGGCGCAAAGCCAGCGCTTCCCTCTGAAGTGCGATAGCCTGATCCAAGTCTTCGTCATTGCCTTGGTGCTCAAAGCGGGAGAAGAGTCGATTCGCAAGGTTATTTAGCGACTTGGACCAATCTATGTGACTGACCGGGTGCAAAGCCAGTGCTTCCCTCTGAAGTGCGATAGCCTGATCCAAGTCTTCGTCATTGCCTCGGTGATCAAAGCAGGAGGAGAGTTGATTCGCAAGGTTATTTAATGACGAGGACCGATCTCTGTGACCAACCGGGCGCAAAGCCAGCGCTTCCCTCTGAAGTGCGATAGCCTGATCCAAGTCTTCGTCATTGCCTTGGTGCTCAAAGCGGGAGGAGAGTTGATTTGCAAGGTTATTTAATGAGTTGGACCGATCTGTGTGACCGACCGGGTGCAACACCAGCGCTTCCCTGGCAAGTGCGATAGCCTGATTCAAGTCTTCGTCATTGCCCTCGAAGCGAAAAGCGGGAGGAGAGTTGATTTGAAAGGTTACTCAATGATGAGGACCGACCTGTGTGACCGACCGGGCTCAAAGCCAGCGCTTCCCTGTGAAGTGCGATAGCCTGATCCAAGTCTTCGTCATTGCCTCAGTGCTCAAAGCGGGAGGAGAGTTGATTCGCAAGGTTATTTAATGACGAGGACCGATCTCTGTGACCGACCGGGCACAAAGCCAGCGCTTCCCTCTGAAGTGCGATAGCCTGATCCAAGTCTTCATCATTGCCTCGGTGCTCAAAGCGGGAGGAGAGTTGAGTGGAAAGGGTATTTAATGACCTGTACCGATCTGTGTGACCGACAGGGCACAAAGCCAGTGCTTCCCTCTGAAGTGCGATAGCCTGATCCAAGTCTTCGTCATTGCCTCGGTGCTTAAAGCGGGAGGAGAGTTCAGTGGCAAGGTTATTTAATAACTTGGACCGATCTGTGTGACCGACCGGGTGCAAAGCCAGCGCTTCCATCTGAAGTACTATAGCCTGGTCCAAGTCTTCGTCATTGCCTCGACATTTGAAGCGAATTTCCAGCATTATACTCAGATTACCTAGCAATTGCCCTCGGAAAGCATGCCCAGTGTTGTAGTATCCCAGTGCATCATAATGAAGGGATATCACTTCATCTAAGGCACTGGGATCATCATTCTGTGAACACCACTCTGCTCGATGACCAAGTTGATCTGGCGATAACGGAAGCATGGGTGTGGTGGGCCGCTCCTGCCCAAGATCATTTGCATCAATGCTTTCAGCAGAATACAGAGCAGATGTTTCGATTGCAATCAAAGCTGCTCTGAACATGTGACTGTTGGCGTGGCAGACATCGAGGACTTCACTTAGTAACTCTCTAGCTGCATCAGCATCCATTGGAAATCCCCGTTTCGCGAAGTGAGATTGCAGAGCAATGGCAAGATGGAGCTGGGTGATGGGTCGGTCCGGGTTATCAATGGGACACAAATCAAGGGCTTCTTGAAACAGATTGATAGGGATGTCGAGGTCGAGGTGTCTTTCGCCAGCTTGGCAACTGAAAACTTTGTGATAGCTAGATTGAGCAGTGCTGCAGGGCGGTAGGGATGGTCCATGGGGCAGAGATCCGAGGCGCGTTCAAAGTGGTTTATGGATTGGTCAATATCCTTACTGTTCCGCGTCCTGCGGTATTGTGCGAGAAGATGATGTCCGGCATCTGTCTCTAGTACTAACACATCCATATCGTGTGATGTAAGCTACACGTTACAAGCTCTCAGGATCAGAATGCTAGATTGCATTGATCACTCACAATAGTCACGGGGCAAAGAACTACGGCGTCGTTTTCATCAGAAAGTCGCTGCTCCAGTGTCATGAATAGTGAAGTACACGGGGACACGACTTCCCCCTGCTTGGGCTGAAAGAGTATGGCTATGATACTCGTTAACATCTGTCAGATGTTATTCGCAAAAGACGTTACTAATGATGTGACTTTTCACTGCAATCCAGCAATTCTCGGACAGAGATCTCGAATGTGTGGAGGACTTCTCCGTGACCGAGCATCGGACCCAATTCAAATGAGGCATACATGCTGACCCGGACTTTAGAAGATAGATTGCACGGCCTAGAGTCCTTCTCAATACGTGCAGGAAAGATGAGATGAAGGACAACATACAGAAGTATGGACTCGGTCCATTCGACGACAGCCTGATCTACATGTACAGGTTTGTTGCTCGTCTGGCATTCAGCACCGTCTGTCTTTATCACCACATGGAAGCCAGTGGGGATACGTCGGAGACCAAGAGTGAGATCAGTCGCATGAATGGCTTGGGAAATAGTTAATACGAGCTGAGCGGAAGTAAATATCACATACCGGTAATGACGACATGTTGCACTGCACTGAAGTGTATCTCTTTCGGGTCCTGGGGTTGTTCTGGGTGGCTTGGCTCCACAACCAAGGCTTGGAGGGTATCATCGAGCGAATCTGGGACTGAGTCTGTCGGGAAACGAAAGAGCAGAGTAATGACAAAATAAAGTGTCGCCAGAATTGCTTTGGGAAAGCATCAGTACGTGCTGATGAAAGATAGATGACACATACTATTGACAACGACTTGTAGCATTTCACTAATCACAATGTTTGCCTGTCCTGGGTCCTGGGGGCATTCTGGGTGGCTCGGCTCCTCTCCCAAAGGTGGAGAGTATTCACCAAAATGACCAGGGACGAAGCTTGACATATGGCTGGGAGATGGACTCAAACTAACACTTGAGAGTAAGATTTGTACTGGAGGTCACGAAAAATGTAGTACCTGTGAGGTCCTAATGGACTATAAAGCAGGAAATCACAGCATACATGTGGTATCCACACCATACAGCGCTGATGCATGATGCATGATGCATTGATTAGTCAACAGGATGGAAGCGACTCGCAGTTGGATATCGAGCCATCCTGGCCATAGCCTCATTTACAATGGGCATCGGCTTTGCAATACGGAAGGGGCATGTTCAACGTGGGGTGATATTGATCGAAATGAGGACTCAGTACTCAGGAGGCTGCGGGGCTGAAGAAAAGCAGGGCATTCCACACTTTCAGAAGAATATTCAAATTGCGAAGCACTGCCTGGTAATGTCACCGCCATCGACAGGCTATCCTACAGCTACTAGCTGTCAGACAACATGTTGCGCGAGAAGGATAAGAATCCGTGAACCCACCCCCGATATCAAATTCATTGATATATCACTCACAGCTGGACACCAGCAACGTTTTCGACCTTCCATTCGCTCTTCGTTGGTTTTCACGTCTCGATACCTCATTGTCGCAGCCACCAATCAGAGCCCTTTCCAGCCTTCTCACTAATCCTCTTCAAGCTGTTCATTTCCGCAGATCTCGTAACATTCATCGACGACCCGCTACTACTCACTACCACCGCATCCAGTCGTTATATTCCACCGCTGAAAGCTTCCGTCCTTCCTCTACACACAATTATCTTCCCGTCTAGTGAAAGTGCCAGTGCATAGATCCAACCCCCTTCACCTTTCCATGGTTCCCCAACAACAAGTCCCGTGTCGCAGTTCCACTTGCGCATAGTGCCATCCTCTGAACCACTCATGATGTCGATGTTGTCGTGCAAGAAAGCAAAATCGTGAATCGCTCCCTCGTGTCCTTCAAATTCGTGCTTCATAATTGGCTCTTCCCATTTTGCTGTGGTCGAAACTTCCTTGTGGGTCCACCTTGCAAAGAATCTAGCAGCCATGGCTCGTTACCATTATCTGGTGGATCAATCAGGCTCTATGGTTTGTCTACTGGTCTGTTGCTTGGGGGAATGCTGGCAAGACAGGCGAGTCTTCATGTCCTGTAGGTAGAAGGCATGCTTTCCACGAGGTGGTGCTAATTGTCCATTCACAGGTTCTTATTGTATTGATTTGATGTTTGCAAACAGCGATCCCCAACGATCTAATTCAAGTCATGTTTCACGATGCATATATACTCAAGGCAATGCATCGACCAGTAAGTAACACGTACCTTGCACTTTAACCATCTCATACTCCTTTAAAGCTCTACTCTCCCAAAACACAACACAACACCTTTCAGTACTCGTTGACGTCAGGATAAGCATGCGCGAGACAACAGAGGTGCAGGTATGAGGCATAAAGGTGCGCAAGGGATGCCAGGTGAGTGCATCGTGCCCCCGGTATCTGTGACATATATTCATCTGTGCGTAGCTATTTTGACGCGGCATTGACAAGTCTTGATGCGGCGCTAGTGCAAGCATTCCTATGTTCTCATTTGACTCCCACATCAAGTTGCATAGGTTCATGACCATTCCTTCGTCGATTTTATTCACCATAGGCACACATACTGGGCCAGATGCTCGAGGGTTCGGTCAATCTTCAAGAGAATATTGGTGCCCAGAAGATGTATAACGGATAAACATACACCCGACGAGCTTCGCTTATCACCCAGGCCCAACCGGAACAAGGATGTCAGGTACTGCAGAGTGACACATATTTGGGTGACCAACCATAAGTTTGGCGGTCTCCAAGCTCAATATCCGTGTTCATGACCCGGTCGCCAGTCGTGTGTTGTCCGCGGAAATGTAGATGCAGCTGATCATCTGCGAGTTGTATTAAAACGATTCCTGTCTCAACCTCTGCAGGCCTTGGGCTCAGGCCGCCATAATAATAAAATCTTCACCAACAGTGAGAACTCGTTCCTTCACATCAGATGTGCTCAACCTCATCAGTCTGCATATAAACTCTCCTGCAGATTCCATTGCTGAACGGTCTTGTCACGTCAGGTGCACTGAACATTTGTCGGCCATCCGGAAGTAGGATAGGGATCGAACATTCCTTTGCTGACCCTCCAAGCTCATGAAGGGTGTCAAAATTGTCTTGGTTGCTGGAGCTGAGGATTGTGTTGATGTGGAGGTCGTGGCGTCTGATGCTGTGTCTTTGCAAGTGGAGGAGTAGCAAAGGATACATTCGAAGGAAACTCGTGCTGTAGGCTATTTATTGTGTAAGCCAAACTTGTGTTGCCAACCAGAAGTTGATAATATCAGCGTTGAACGCGAGTGATTGCAATGTTATTAACTAACCTTGCGAGTGAGGGGTCTAACTTATTTAACACGCACCAAGCGCAATGGCTATACAGTGACTTGAGGAAGTCTACTAAGCTGGCCTTGAGCGTTATTTTACAGGAGTACCTACATTACTGTATGTAATACATGGCTGATGTGCTATATGATGGCAGTGTAAACTTTATGCGATCAGGCATTGAGTATGTTATGTGTGTCATTGCGAGTATCAACCACTTTCAAGTGCTTCTAGCAAGGTTAGTCCAGTCAGCCCCAACCCGCAGTGTCCAAGATGTATCACCCTCCATCACCCTTAAACGAACAACGAGATGCAGGCACCTACTATACATCTCAACATCCCGATCTGGATCTGGATCCTGCATTTTGATGTCTTCACTGTCGGCAGGCCCATTTTCATCGTCATCAGGTTCCATCGCAGAAGGCCGCCTCACCCTCCCTCCCTTCCACCGCACCCCGACACATAGAATTATACACCTCTTGCTTTGCTACTCGGTGCGGCTTATTTGCGCGCTTAAATATCTATGCGCTTGATCATCACAACATAAAAGAAGAGAAGTACGAAACATACCGAGGAATCTTTTGCCAACCTAGAGGCAAAGTGGGGCATTGTCTATCGACCCTTTACCACCGTCCGTGTCATTCTCATTCTCCTTTTCTTTTCCTTCACCCTTTTCCACCATTCACGTTCGTCTGCTTTGCGCCCATCCCAGCGCCAAGCGTCTCGCACACGGCCAACATCTCCATAGCATGCGCAGGTGCCATATGCCAATACTGTGCACCCACTTGCGCGAGGAGCAACGCACGGAGATGGTTCTCGCCTGCTAACGTCGATAAAGACAGCGCAGTTTTTAGGTGAGATCTGCACCAGAAATCAGTTTGTAAGCACGAGTTGGTTATGCATTTTTGGCACGAAATGAAGAACAATAAGAAATGTACTTGGCACCAACAATCTCCCCCTCGCACCCGCCACAGCTGCCTGCACCACCTTCCCAAGCCACCATCTAGTTTAATCATCTCTGTGATCTGTTTCTCCTTACATAGGATAGTGTTCTGCACCCATAAATGGTCCTCCCATGTTCGGCATGCAGACTCGAGGTCACCGAATGTTTGCAGGCGGGGCACAAGAGATGCATAGAGAATGCGGTCTGGATCAGGGAGGTTGGGCTTGAAGGACATATCAACAAGATGGTGCACAGATGGTTGAATAGCGCACATTCAGAGCTGCTCTTGCGTATGTTGATTTCCATAGTTTTTAACGTGAGTTTCCCTGCCACCCTTCGGCATCCTCGGTATCATCGATGCCATCGTCATCCCGCTGCTCGTTTACTGTCAACAGATAGTAGATACCCAAATGACAGCTGAAGTTCTGCGCTAATTGCTTGAAATTGAAACCGCAATAACCGCGAGAAGCTAACTTGCCTATGCAATGTCCAGCGGTGTTTGAATACTAACTGCACCATTGACGGTACTACAGTGGCTGGCCACTGGCAGTAGAAACACTGCGTACGCGGAAGGGGCTTGGGCTCACGAGCTCAGCCCATCGACATTTTTCAAAGGTCCGCAACGCTGCCGGGAGCATGCTGACGCACGACCTACGATGTGAATTCAAGCATGGTGCACACTGCAACTAACACAGGCTGAACTTCAAGCTTCAAGCACATCTCGCAGGGCAAGCTCAGTTCCTCATGCATAGTAAGTATGGGTTACATATTTACTCTTGCTAAATGCGTAATATCTTCAGCTGGATATCTTTGGCCAACCTCGCGAGGCGCCAAACGATTCTGTCTTATTTTGATATGTGGAGTCTGGACCATATGGTGTGAAGAGAACAGCTCATATGCATCATTCTACAAGTACTACTGACTGCAACTTCAACCCTCTTCAACCTTGTGTGCACGACTTGAGACGAACGTCGGACGGACACCCACAACTAGTACATTTACCGCTCATCCGCCCTTCAATGTCAACTGCGTTCCATCACTATCCAATGAGCTTTCCACAGCACTGGACCCATTGAACACATCCATCCGATTAATCTCAAGCAGCTCTTCTGCCTTGCGATCTCCATCACTCTGCTCCTCATTATAACCGCAAATTGTTGCCTAGTAGCTTTGATCTTCCGATTGACGTCTTCGTTCGTCATCCTCGGATACGATCATTACCCGTATTACTTCTAACCAATGCGCCAAACCCAAGTTCTTCTTCGAGTTCTTCCATGCCGTCTCGCGATAAGTGTTGTATATTGTTCTCTTTCGTGATTTGATCCTGATGAACATTCCTGGTGATCCTCAATGACATGAAGGCAGTCCCAGGTCGCTGTCCGGGGTGCTGAATACGACACCAGTGAGAGTTCTGAAAGTGAGGGAGCAAGTCGCCTCCAGGAAATTAGCATTCTCGCTAAACCATTTTCTAGTGGGAGCCTTCTTTTTCTCGCAAAACATGAAACACTGCACGACTGGATATCTTTTATGCGACGCATGCCTACAGTTCGTCAACCATCGTCTAAACTTGAAGGACATGAGCGGGGCTCTGCGTGAGCATCCTGTTCTTCCAGTCCCTATGTCTCCTCACAATCAGATGGAGGTGCTCTTTTCTCGACCTCTCTGGGGACTGCTTCAATTCAGACTTCACGAGGCGACTTTCCGCCAGACATAGAAATGATGCGTGTCATAAAGGTATCCATGACTTTTGCAAACGAAGTAAGCTAACAAAAACATTCACAAGTACGCGCAGGTTCTTATATCATTGATTAATGCTCACATAGCATGCACAGTCAACCCGATGCAGATAGTACCAGCTGCCCCCGTTTCCCAGGCGATGTATGGTTGTTCAGTGTTGTCCAACATCAAGCATTTATCTTCTAGGTGCATGAGACTAGACATTGTAGTGTGCTGCTTCAGCATGCAGATCCTCCGAGCAATAGGTTCTGTAAGGGTCAATGATCATCTCCCTACTGTTAATGACGTCGATTCAGAATTTCAGATAGATCAGCAAAGAAGACAAGGCAGATGACCACTCTAGAGAACTATGGTGTCGTAGCAGATATCCCGAGTTACTTCACTGAACTGCCCCCGATAGTCATAGATTACACATTATTGTACATTACATTAGTTACAACAGGATGATTCGGTTATCTTGACCGAGGACAAAAACTATGCCACGTATTCAAATGCATCTGTAATTCCATCCATGCGTTGGATGTATTCTCTATCCAAAAGCTCATTGATCACCTAAAAGCCGGATCAGCCAATATTGCAACGACGAAACAAGGAGCTCTGACAATTTTGATATCAGGAATTTTAGGGGTGAATCGTTGCGAAAGTTGAGAAACTACTTCTTGAATCAAGGGTTGGATCTTCAACGTCTTCCTTGCCTTCATTATTCGAACAACGGTGGCCTCAAGCGTGTGTTTACGGTCTTTCTCGACAGTTTGAGACAACTCCGAGCTATCGGCCTTCACCTCAGCCTTAATCGGCCGATTCAAGGAAATACGGGTTTTCTTCGACTTGAAGTCTGACAGAAGGTATGAGCATCGCGAGAATGCGAAATAACTTCAAAGAAGTAAGACACACTTGGGTTCAGATCATATTGATTGGTGTCCTCGTTAATCAAATCTTATCCTTTACCAGGAGCACAAGCACCTGCGATAAAACATCCTTGTTGATACCCGTCGCAGTCATCAGCTCATCCAGTGATGACGTTTTGTGTGTATTGTATTGGAGGAGAACTGCCATTTGGTACGAACTGGTCATGAGGATGTACTTCTGATTGAGGTAGTTCATTCTGAGTTTGTTCGTCGAGTGATTCCAGAGCCAAGTGAGCTGGCGACCAGAATGCTTCGTCTGGAAGTACCCGAGGAAGTGGTCGTACGTACGAATGATCTCAGGAGGAATGATGAAATCGCCCTTTGGTGCGCTGAGAGGCCAGGAGTTCGAACCAAGAACCATGATGGAAAAGTTCATGTTCATCTCATCGTGAGTTTGCATATGTTCATTGAACTCGTCAGTAAGGTTTTTACTGAGACTTATATCTAACAAGTAAGCGATCGAAAAGTGAGCAACATGGGAACATCATGGGAACAAACCTGTGAACATTTTCTGCAACTTTTGAATGTATTCAAAACCACAAGCCTCCTTTAACTCGGAGATCATGCTCGCCTCACTCTCATCCGATGCAGATATGCCATGAAAGAGGCGCTTGGACAATTTCGTATAGTAGAAGTTCTGGAAGATGTCTTTATCCTCGATGTACTTGAAAAGCACCATCTGTGGACACAAATGAGAAATCAACAAGGGGCCGTCAATTGAGATGCTTACTGCATCGCTCAAAGCAGCTTCAAGGTCCCACTCAGTCATCTTGTTATTTTTGCGAAGCAATGCATCTGCGTGTTTGATGAGCAGTTCTGGTGATTTTGTCATTGATGAACCCGTCACAGCATTGCGATTGACAAACTCTCTGCACACCTTGTCGAGTGAAGCGACAAACCCAGTCTCTCCACCAAAGATCCTCGTAACAAATCCTGAGTACCTGCAACAGACCTCAAGTAGCGTGTCGATGTATGCTTTGGGATCCAATGAATTATTGCCCTCTTCGCCCAAGAGAGTCACAACAGCAGTTAGACCTGCCTTTTTCACGTGTTCCTCGAACTTCTGTCTCAAAGGCTCCAGGCATTTGCATGTGCGGGATAATGATGCATACATTGACTGGAGTTCTTCTTCCTTTTCACGATCAAGCAGCCTTTGTGTCATATCCCGTATTCTGGACCTACGTCCGATGATGTTCCCACGCCTTCCGGATGCACATCCGGACCTCCATACCCTTATCCATGACTCCATACCCTTATCCATGCCTGCAGTCCTCCAGTCCACTATCGGTTCGGATCCGTACACCTTCGTACATCCATATACAGTGGCTCAAAAAAACTGTCCGCATGTTTTGACATTTTTCACTATCTATGATATTGTGTGAGAATGAACAAATTCCTCAAGGACATACTTATACCACATTGTAGTATGGCTTCAGGGCTTTTATTTGAGCCCTACACCGTGGGAATCGGCGGAGATATGGTGGAGATATAAGGCTTATAAAATGATGACTCATGTGGACAGTTTTTTGAGTGTATATTAAAACTATATAAATCATTATTTATGACACCATAAAAATCATGCCACTATTATATAAATTATAAAGTGGTGTCATTATGTTATTTATGACTATATCTAACTATATAAACCAGAATATCTCATGTATCATAGTCATAATCACCATGAAAGCCATCTCCTCTGCTCAAAGAGATAATATCCTCTCTCTGTCTTATGCTGGCCTCTCTGCTCGCCAAATTTCCTCTAGAACTGGAATATGCAAGTCCACTGTGGCCAAGTTCATCAAAGAAAGCCACCCAGACAAGGAAAACTCTTGTGGAGGACGTCCATCCAAGCTTACCTCTACTGACAAAAGGGCTATTATCCAACATATCACTACAGGAAAGGCTGATAATGCTGTCCAAGCCACCCATTATATCAATTCCACCATCACTACCCCTGTCTCTTCACAAACTGTGAGGAATGTTCTCAAGGCAGCTCATCTCAAGGCAGTAACAAAGAAGAAAAAAGCCTCTTCTCTCCATCAAACATAGGCAGAGAAGGACTAGCCTTTGCCTTAGCTCATCAACACTGGACTGTAGAGGACTGGAAGCATGTTATATGGTCAGATGAGACCAAATCAATAGGATTGGGTCAGATGGGAAGGTGTATGTATGGAAAAGAAGGGAGATGGCCTAACAGACAGAGAGGTTAATGGGACTGTCAAGTTTGGAGGAGGTTCTTTAATGGTATGGGGCTGTATGGGATGGAATGGTGTGGGAATGCTTGCTGAGGTTGAGGGGAAGATGAATGCTGAGCAGTATGTGGACATTTTTAATGACCACTTGCTGCCTAGCTTGGCAGAATCAGGGATTGATGAAGAAGATATCATTTTCCAACAGGATAATGATCCAAAGCACACATCCAGAAGAGCTAGGGAATGGTTTGAAGAACATAACATCAATGTTCTTGACTGGCCAGCACAGTCTCCTGATGTCAATGTCATTGAACATCTCTGGGGAACACTCAAGAAAAAGCTTCAAGCCTATGAAAACCCCCCTAAAGGAGGTATGGGAGCTTTGGGAGAGAGTAGCAGTGGAATGGGGGAAGATCACAGCTGAGGATTGCCAGAAATTAATTGAGAGTATGCCTAGAAGGATAGAGGCAGTAATTAAAGTCAAGGGAGGTCATACAAAATACTAGAATACCTGGTTATTACTGTAAAATACTTGAGTCAAAAACTGTCCGCATGAGTCACCATTTTGTGAGCCTGTATCTCCACCATATCTCCACGATTTCCCACGGTGTTGTAGGGCTCAACTGAAAGCCCTGAAGCCATACTACAATGTGGTATAAGCATGTTTTGAGGCATTTGTTTGTTTCTCACACAATATTATAGATAGTGAAAAATGCCAAAACATACGGACGGTTTTTTTGAGCCACTGTACCTATGTAGTTCCACCCAACTCGTGTAGTTTCAATTGTACCTTCTAATATGACGCTCACATGGGCAACTCGATCCGGCAAGTTTACGACGAGGGCGCTGATTCGACGGAGCGGGCGCTGATTGACGGAGCGGGCGCTGATTCGACGGAGCGGGCGCTGATGCGATCAGCGGAGTTTTATTTTGCAGTCGTTCACTATATCAGGCGCGTCCTTTCATCTCCTGCACTTTCTTTCTGATTTGAATGTTAATATAGATGTTATGTACGTATTGGTCGCAAAAATCTAATACGTTGTCTCACTCTGTTGGATATCCTCCCGGCATTCCAGCAAGGCTGCCTACTGTGTAGTGCGTTAGACCATTGTCACACTGTGCGTCGGTTCATGGACGCACCTCGCCCACCAATCAACAAACGTGGTTTTGCGCTTGGAATCGTGCCGAGGGAAAACGATCCGCGCTTCATGCTGTTCCAAATGTACTGTCCTACAGGTATGATGAAGTTGTCGTTGGTTTGAAGCTTGTAATGAACATTATCAATATAGATTGCTGTGACACGAATTCATCACCATACGTTTCTGTTGTCGTTTGTTCTGGGATTCTTGGGGTTCTCTGCACCCTTGGAGTAATGCTTCGACATGATGTCATCCACTTCCATACCTAACAATGCACCATCGAGTGCCGCATAGATGCGCTCGCGTAATAGGTCAGTTGTTGGATGCCCCCCTTCACAATGACGGCGGAGATACTTGTTTATCGCCTTCTTTAGGCCGCAAACAAGTTCTCTTTTCTTCAAAGAAAGGTTGCCCTACATCCTGACTGCTGCTGGCGTCACTGGCAATGTTGGCCATGCAAGATCTGCGCCTGAAATTTTCTTGAACACGGTATGAGTCCGCGAGCCTGTCTGTAAGACTATGTTGCTAACCTCATCGCCTGCTACATCAGGGCTGTGAATTTAAAACATCTTGCGCACTTCCCAATGGCCCCGACGGGTGATTTGGGTTCGTCAATGGACATGGCGGATCCCATCCACATGAGCTGTGTGTTTAGCTGGGAAGGATCAGTTGAGTAGTTTTCTTCATCAGATCACGCTCACTTCATTTACCATCTCCTGTCCCAGACGAACATCGTACTCGTTGAAACACATGGCAAACCTCCTCGTCAGAGGTGCTGTGATTGATTTCAGCTTTTTGTTCCCTGACGCCTCCATGGGTGGTGAGGGCCGAACATATGGATTGAAGCGTTTGCTACGGATTTGAGTGGGTTTACTGCAGGTGTTTACTGCAGGGTTTACTGCAAGGTGATGTTAGTGTAGACGGCATAATAAGTGAGTTGCAGGATTGAGAAAATTCGTTGTAACCTTTTAAATCAAGTCCTATGGTATGCATTTAGGCCATCTAGAATTTTATCCCGTAGTTCGTCAATTGTATTCCCCTTGGTGATGAAACATTTTCTGGTTTATCCCCTCGCAGGTGAGAAACTCTGGTTTATCCTCTGGTTTATCCCCCGTTTAATTAAGTGATCAATTTAAGGGCCTACTGATCAATTTTCGCGACCAACAACAAGCTTCTTCGGAACAATCACTTCGAGCAACTTAAAGCGAGGTCCTCTTCAATCCTTCTAAGTAATTTTGCGATGGGAAACTCGTTAAGTCACATTTCTGGTCGGAAATCCGTTTTCCAGGAGGTACGCTCCTTATATTCATTCCATTTGGTTGTGACCTACAATTCGTTATACACAGTCCCGGGACTCCTTGTTGACAACTACCCTCTCTGGCACGGTGAGGCCCTCACGCGTACATAGGCACTTGCTAACTGATGATTTGTAGGACATCGGCACTATAGCAAAGGCACCCTTGAAGCGTAAATTTAATTCTAATGACGACTGGCTATCCCCGCGAAAGCGACGCCTCCTGGAATCTTATTCCACCGGCGACATAAGCCAGGTTGTTGTTGCGGTACATCTTAATTTCTAACCTTGCGCATCGGTGTTTGATCCAGTTTCAAGCCTCAAACGATACATCGTCGCAACACTGACTTTACAGACCCCTCGGCCAAGCGCTTGTACAGGGAGGCGGTACGGAAAAACCTCATACAATATATTTGCGTCCGCTGATCTCGACCCTAGTCTGATATTTTCCTGAAGCGTAAAGCGGATGCTAAACTAGATCCCTTTTCAATAAAACGCGTCATACTGTATGAGCCTTGTCACGCCCCGGCATTCATATGGTCCCTACCCGCTGAAATTCTCTTTGCTATCGTCGCTCTTTTAGGAGTGGAAGATTTGCGCTGTGTTACTCAAATTTGTTCTCTGTTAAGAGAAATCGCCGGTCCCCTCTTCTTCATCAACCGGAACTTCCCAACTTCACCGCAGGACATGTTTCACATCCGTGTAGACTCGCACAATTTTGACGTTCTACTTACTTGGATACGTATGGATACCTTTCGTCCTCTGCGTATGATGTTGTGTTGGTTAGATCCTGATCTGCGGTCCACGCAACTCTCTGCATTTTCGTACTTTCTCCAGTCCGTCCCCCATAAATCCATACGATATATAACACTTTTCTGGAATTTTGACATTCTCACTTGCTCAGTTCTCCCTCAGATCGTTACAGTCCTCGAGAACATCCGCGCCTCCGGCTGCGAGGATATGACATGCATGTCATTCCACGGTCACATTGGCTCATATGCATCATCCGTCACTGGACTCACCAGAATTCAGGGGGATGTGGGCGTGAACCACCTCAAAACCTTTGATGCGTCATCACAAGCATTATTTTCCCCCGAACTCCTTGCTTTCACAATCCAGACCATTCGCTTTTCCTCTTTGGAAAGGCTCCGACTCAGTTCCATCAAACTCAGTCCTTCACACTGGGACAAACTGCTGCGGCACTTGACCATCCCAACGCTCGTCGAACTTCAAGTCGATGCTGATTGTGCTCCATCTACGCTCAATCGCTTTCTGGCCCGTCACCCCCGGCGTCCAAGACCTCAGTATCATTCCGCGACCTGGTTGCCTCTGGAGGACCCATCGAGTCAACCCTCCTTTAGTGTTATCGGTATCTACGCTAGATGGCCCTTTGTCTCATGTCCTCCCAGTCCTTCGGAGTCACCATAAACCACCCACCCTCTCCTGCCTTGCTCTCTCGTTGCAAGCCCACGATGCTTCACCTGACTACCTTACTGCCGTCCTACAATGTATCCGCTATTGCAATAGCGTTGGATACCTTGACCTTTCCCTACCTCCGCAGAGTCATTCCCATTCGGCAATGATTTACTCAGGTACCCAGTCAGCAATTCATGTTAAGCACTTGGGGATTTTTTCGGACGTTGCAGGCTCGTGCTCCACTTCGGCGGGAGATGCATTGGTACGTGTTTGTTAAAGCGCTATTTCAATACCTGAATACTAACTGTAGCTCCAGGCGTTATCTGCTTCGTGGATTGAAGCCTTTCCTCGAGTCAAACGTGTTAGCATGCGAGGCTGTTCCAATCGCACTGCCGAGTATCTTGTCAACAAGATGCGCAAATTTGCTGCTGCTGATGTCGAACTGTCTGTGAAGCTGCATACTGAAGATTCCTTGTAATTTATGGTTTGTTACGCGCCCGCCTAGCTTGTCCATCTCCTCAGAATAAAATACTCAAAGGCTGCATTTGCGTGTATGATACTGATACTTACAATGATATGTCCTGCTGTACTGCTAGCGCTATATATTCCATCCAAAAGGGCGCACATAGCGTAACGCAAATTGCATCCGCGGGCGTTTCGCTCCATATATAGAATCCTACTTTGCAAATTTGACTGACATATTTTCCAATGCACCAGCCGCCAATGCCCGCCAAAAATTCCCAGCGGGCGCTGGGTGCCAAATTCTGGCGGAGCTTGATTATGTAGTCATTCACTATATTAGGTACGTTCTCTCTGTGCTTTACCTCTTTCCTATTGTCTTACCGTTAATACCCTATACTTACTGTGGATTCCAGGCTCGCTCACTCATGTACCTTAAATATAGCACTACTATGTACTTATATACTTATCGTGATGTTTTTATTTACGTTGAGCGTTCGAGATGTGGTGCGTTGTTCCCTTGACGGGATGAACGTGATTGAAATGAAAAGTTAGTCCATTATGCGCGAACAGCGACCGCATATCAAATTTCGGCCCCCCTGTAAGTACCTCCGCCGACTTGATGATCAGTGCTAACTACTTTCCCTATCGTCGCTCTCATATATCCCACAAGACCAGCGAAGCCAGTTGTACATTGAAGTTCGTTAGATGCCTAGCCGAACATTCCTTTGCAAATGTACGCAATGCTGCGAAGTTGGAGGTGACGGAGTGCCTAGTAATCCTGGCGGCAAACAACTGCCCGTCGCGATGAAGCATGTACATTCGTTGCAAGCTGCCAACATCGCTTCCTCACTTCGTGAAGCTTCTGTGCTTCATCTTGCTCGTCAGACCTTAGAGCCCGGTGATTCACGTCACTTCACAGATCGTCAAGCGTCGTCCTCCCAACCTTTGGCTCACCCAACACATTCACCCACAACATCGACGCCAGTGGATGACCTTGCTGCTGAACTATTCGCGATCACCCTAAGCGACGAGGGCGACCCAGATAGTCATAGCAAACTCTGGGTCTCCCGATCAGAGGTTCAACGGGACAAGGGAAAAAGCTACTCTCTGGATGCTACGGCCAATCTGATGTCTGGACTCACTCTGGATGATACGCAGTAAGCATCGTATCAGACATCACCTTATATCGAGCCCTCTAATTAGGTTGTTTCTTAGACATATTGCCCGTGCTCTCCAGGCTGTTGGAGTGCGGCGCCAGTCAAGGGCTCAAGTAACTTTGAACATTGTAGAGTCACAGATTGCTAGAGCTCGTACTCGAATTTTCTCCGCGACTTCTCGCGATGTACTATGTCTCATACGAGATGAGCTAGGTGGAATAACTACAACCCTCAGAAAAGTCAAACACAAGGTCTCCTCCATCGTTTCTCGTAGAAGCCAGCTGGAAGCCTCGTGCGATGAAATGCATAGACTGCTCACCAACAAGGAAAACGACCTTCCTGTGTCATCTCAACCAGTCGAGTTTGATTCTTGTGAGTTCCATGCATTTCCTCCCTATGTTCCTCCGACTAATGTCCTATAAAGCACATCATTACGATTTGCCAATCGACTACTGTGACGAGGTTGCCCAACTATCCCTCTTTTTAGGGGCAGTTTCTGTTGTCATCTTTGGTATCGGTCGCAGACACGGGGAGTTTCTCATGGGAGTTCTATCCCTAATTTTGAGTCTTGCGATGGATGCGCAGGACCCTCATTCCGAGTCTCGTCGGCAAAACACTCTTGCTCAGATTCCGCGATCTATGGAGAGCGCGCTTTCACGCTTCAAGCTCGATGGCCAGACCACTACTTACGCAGTCTGTCCGGCGTGCAATTGTACTTACAAGCCGACGGCCAACCTCAACACAAGTAACGCGCGATATCCCACAAATTGTTTCAACAAACCCATACCAGAAGGTGATCCTTGTGGCGAACCGTTGCTGCAGCGCTCCGCTGACGGGCAATTCGAGCCAATAAAAATATTCCTTTATCACCACTTCCACGACTACCTTGCCGGATTGTTGTCTCGTCCCGACTTGGAGGCCTTGATGGATAGGCCTTGTGATGATTTACTAGCCTCCATTGGGAGTACACCGCATATCGTCAAGGATGTTTGGGACGCAAGTTTCTTTCGCACCTTCCAGGGTCCGTCCGGCCAGTCTCTATTTATCGACAGAGGCGATGAAGGCCGATACGCTTTCACACTCAACGTTGATTTTTTCAACGTCGAAGGCAATCGTCAACGAAATGCATCAACATCCACCGGCATCATCTCATGCGCATGTTTGAACCTCCCCCTCGATATCCGGTACAAACACGAGAACATGTACTTAGCTGGTATCATCCCTGGACCTTCAGAACCTTCAGGAGACGAGTTGAATTTCTTTCTAGATCCTGTGGTTGATGATATGGTTGAAAGTTGGGAACACGGAATACGTTATAGCCGCACAGCTCTCAACACTCGCGGCCGGGTTACACGCAGCGCCATAGCATGTCTAGTATGTGACCTCCCGGCAGCGAGAAAGGCCGCTCAGCTAGCGGGTCCAACGAGCCATTTTTATTGCACTGCCTGCCATTGTTGGCACAGATCGACTTGCGGTCGAACAGACGTCCAGTCTGAAGATTGGAGACTTCGGGACAAGGACGAAGTGCGCCGCCATGCTGAACTCTGGAAGAATGCAGGAACTTCTGCTGAACGCAACAAGTTGTTCGCATCACACGGGGTGCGGTGGTCGACACTCTGGAGGTTATCATACTGGGATCCTTCTCGCCAAATCGTCGTCGATGCCATGCATTGCCTGCTGGAGGGTCTCGCGCACGCTCATTTTCGCGAATTTTTAGGCCTTACATCTGATTCCGCACATCGCAAGCCTGATGTTATCCCTGCTTTTACTTATCTCTTCCTTGACGTCGACCTCAACAAACCTCAAGACTTCCCAGAAAAAGACGTCAGAGTTGTCAAATCAATTCAGAGTCTCCTTACTGAAGCAGTCCCCAACCTTGAAGGGAATGACCCACAGCTTATCGAGGATCACCTCGCGCAGTTAGAGAGAAAATTGTTGAACAAGACAGTTGCATCCCTTCGGTTTGTGTCGGAAGGATTGGGTATCACGCCAGACATCCCTCACGCTGGCAAAAAAGTCTTCAAACCCTATTGGGTTAGATCGCTCATCAGTTGGGTGAGTATTTTATATTGTTGGTGTTATTGTACGCTCTTAAGCTGCCTCTGTGTAGCGTCGAACTCAACCTTTCGCGCCTGAGCTGTCAAACTTGCGCATTGCTACCCCAGAGGTCATGCGACGCATTACTGATGTGATTAGGACGACGGATACGCCATCCTCGATAAGATCAGTCCCCCGTAACTTTGGGGAAACAAAAGCTGGAACCCTGAAGGCCGATGAATGGCGCACGTTAACGACATTATACTTACCCATAGCTCTGGTTAGCTTGTGGGGCGAGGGATCTACTCACCGCACGTCGGAAATCGCAGTCAGTCGTCGTGCGATCCTTGATCATACGATGGCCCTCGTATCTGCTGTCCACATCGTGTGTCAACGATCTATGACAACGGCTCGAGTAGAAGCATACCGTGCATGCATTATCGACTGGATGAGGGACCTGCAGGTATTGCTTCCACGTGCACCCCATCGCACGAATGGCCATATGGCGTTGCATGTTTGGGACTACTTGCAGCTCTTCGGTCCGGTAAGGTCATGGTGGTGCTTCCCATACGAGCGTCTCATCGGGCAGCTGCAACGGTTGCCCAACAATCACATTTTCGGTACGATTCTAACTTCTGTGTCAATAACGGACTTACGTGCCTCACGCAGGTCAGCAAGAATCCACTCTCCTTCACTCATACATGAAGGCGGCAAAGCTTAAGTATTGGCTAAACCGACCTTCTTGTCCTCCCGTGTTTAGGGAGGTGAAGTCTCTATTCGACAGACTCGTGTCTCCCTTAGTCGACGCTGATCCTATTTCTGTGTCCAAAGATCGCCCCCTTACACAACAAGTCATTCCAGACGACCTCCATCAACTTATCCAGGTTCGGCGGGCAATCTTGCACGCTCGCACATTCTATGAGGGATCCATCTATACCCGTGACTCCACCCATGTAGGCAACAGCCTGATCCTCTATTATCATGGCGGTATCAGGAACGTCCCCCCAACACCAGGGATCATCAAGTACATTTTCGAGATGGAGCGAGTAGTGGGCTTTGCCGTACGGCGTTACCTCCCTCTGCATTCTCACCTCGATCCTTTCAGACACTATCCTTACTTTCCGGCTCGTTTACATTCTACAGTGCTCGTCGATCATCTCGAAACTGTCAAACCTGAGTGGGTAGTATCACACTTCGCACGATGGAAATTTTCTCCGCAGCACATTGTTGCTGTGTCCTTGTGTCGAGTATGTCCCTCCCCATTTTTCACACGTCATTATCTCACGATGTATAGGACTGAATTTCAAAACGCAGATTCACCCATTTGCAGCGGGGTTCTGGATCCGGGAAAATCCGAACTGAGTCTGAGTCATTCACTATAAAAGGGTCCAAATGTAGATGTTATCTTTTTTCCCTTCTTCCCTCTTCGGAATATATCATCCGTTATTGCCGTTAGCCTTTCTGTACATACATATCCGTATCTCTTATACATATTGTCACACACATACCCTGTACATTTTACCCATCATGAACGTTGCAGTGCCTCTCGAAGGTACCTCTACCGTAGAACCAGTTACGTGTCCTATTTCGGACGGCCCCTATCTAGGTCCCAATGACGTCATTGATACTCCTATCAAACGGGACAGTTCTACCATGCTGCCCTTTACGACTCTAACACGATGCCGGCTCGAAACTATCAATGCTATGGGTAAAGAGATGAAAGGGTACTTCGTCGGCCCGATGCCAGCTGGGGACTTTCTCCAGGAATTTTTACCAACTTCTCAGATTCCCGATTATGATCCTTCGTCCTTCACTTCAGCCTTCGCTGTTGGCGCATTCAACCGCACGGTCTCTGTTAGAAATGAGGAACATGCTTACACACCCTTCGTGAGTATACCCTCGCACATACGCTATTGAGATTATTGATCGCCTAACCCCAGATTAACGCCATCAAACCTTTCGCTCCTCAACTGTCGTTTGTCGACACTCACAAATACGAAGACACGAAAAACTGTTCGAAATTAAATTCAAAGGTATTCAACATTAAGCCGGACGTCTGCGTGTATCCCGATGGATGCGAACCTTCATCTCCCAACTGTGATGTTTCTACCACAGAAATCATCATAGAATTCAAATGGTCACCCTCACACGACGCATTCCGTCAACCTGGAGCTGATAGCCTCGTGTCCCAGACGGAGAAGGGTATGGACACCCTGGGACAAATAACGAGTTATACTGCAGCTCAGCTCGGCACCCAGTTCCGTACCCACGTATTCTCTGTCCTAATCGTGCGTGATCGCGCTCGGATCATCAGATGGGATAGGGAGGGGGCTATCGTCACCAGCCCCATCGACTACAATAACGAGCCACACTTGGCTGACTTCTTCTATCGTTACGCACGGGCATCGCCTGAAATGCGTGGTGTTGATACTTCCGTCACGCTTGCTGGCGACGAGGAGGCCGACCTCGCAAGGTCACGGCTAAATATCCCCAGTACCACTCGTATGTTCAAAGTCGATGTCCCTCATGTCGAGGGCTCTGGCTCGGTGACATTGGTCTTTCCCCAACCTGTTACTGAAACCTCACTCGCCTGTTGGCCGCTGGACACGCGCATGTCCGGCATTCGATCTTGTCTACAAGAAGCTCGTGATGCTCAAGGACTCTTGGCGGGTATCGTTACCCGATGTCTTACCGGAAGGCGAAACGTACAAGTTATTGATGTCGAAAAAAGTTGCCCATATTCCAAAGTGTATTGCATATCATGATGTACCCCCCTCTATCGCTCAGCAATCTACTCAAACTGCCAAGTTCGGCAGTGCTGAATGGGCACTTCCCCACTTGCCTCTCACTCCGCACACTCATCACCGTCTGGCCCTCGATATTGTGGGCAAAAATTTGACCGAGTTTGAGAGTTCTCATCAACTCGTTTCGTCTGTGCGTGATGCACTGATTGGTACGTGTTTTTTTAATCCTCACACAACTTATTCATGATCTATCACCGTAGCTCACAAGGATGCATTTGAACTCGCGAAGGTGCTCCATCGAGACCTCAGTGTTGGAAACGTCGTCATCTACAAAGGGAAGGGCTACCTGATTGACTGGGACCTCGCAAAGTTGGTTAACATTAACGGTCCCCGACAAACGACACGCACGGTATGTTCACTCCACGCGCTTTAAATCTCGTACTTATTTTGCTATCACTAAGGGAACTTGGCAATTCATGTCTGCATACCTCGTCGAGCATAAATATGCCATACACTCGGTCAAGGATGACCTTGAGTCCAGTTTTTACGTCGTTCTGTGGACGACTCTTAAGTACAAGGAGACGTACATGGACATCGTTCGCCGGACATCACTCATAACACAGGTCTTCGAAACCAATCCCGGATCATCCTCGAAAGCAGATTGGCTCATCGGGAGAAGCAATCTTCCCAATCTTATGTATGTCGACTGCAAACCGCTCGACAGTCTCATCCATGCACTCGCTGAGTTCTTCTCGCATCGGTACACGCGGGTCACTGAGCATCAGCAGACGGTATATAATAAATTCCGGCTCGCACACGAGAAAGCGACGCGAAATGTCCCTGTCGTACAAGACCTGTTGGCAGCTTCATATGCGCTCATGACGGACTCCCCTGTTTACCAGAAGGAGATAGGTATGAAGGTCCTGGGCTCACACGACACCGTGATAGGCATTTTCAACGATCATCTTGATTTATCCGGTTGGCCTGTCGCAGACTCTGCCGTTCTGCAAAAACTCAAGTCGGAAGAGAAGTACGAACCAGTCTTGGTCACGAAGTCCCAGTCGTTATTTGCCTCAGGGGTAGAAATCACAGTGTCTGGCAAGCGGCGTAGGCTAGATAATGCGGACGATGATGGTGATGATCTCAGCTCGATAGCTGACCTGGATGCACTTACGTCCCTTACTTAACCATGTATCTTCGTATTCTAGTTGTTCACGAGTTTACAATATAGTGCATTTGTCAGTGGAGTGAATGCCTGATGAGTGAATGCCTGATGAGTACCCAACACCAACGAGTGCCCGATGAATGCCCGATGAGTGCCCGATGAGTGCCCACGTCATTTTTCTCGTGCTAAAAGTTCACATTTTACGTTCCCCATTTTAACTTGCAAAAAATTTGATTATGCTGCAATCGGAAAATGTACCTAGTTACATGAAATTCTGAGGAAAACTTTCCTGCGCTCAAAACTTTGTATTTTATGGCGCTCAAAATGGTACATAAAATGTAGAATTTCACCTGGGATTTTGGCACACATCCAAATTTTTTATTTTTATTCGGTCAAAATGTATAGTCAAAACGCCAACTTTATCACTGACATTTTGAAACCAATCTCACATAGTGAAAAACTCCCAAACCACCCGTGTGTGTTGGTAACCTGTTATCATTCGGACCTTTCTTCGGTTCCTTCGAATGACTTCAAGCCCTGAGGAAACAAAGTCCGGACACCTTCACGTCATTCACAATGAAAAGACCCCAGACTCTGTTCAACATCTTCGCTTCAGATTAATGTTGCGGCCGCATCACCGAGTAGTATATGGTCCTCAACTCCCCACTGCCCACACGCCAGCTCCCGCCCTCCCCAACCCCGCGCTACCGTCTTTTCCTTGTTAGTGTCTCTCCTGTCGGTGACGTGGCACTTACACCTCGTTAGGACGTTGTGTTATTTGTATCCTGGCATCTAGTACATCAATGAATACAATTATATGATGGATAGTCTTATACACTCAGGGCACGTGTCCAGCTACCGTAAAATAAAGCGCGCCTCGAGTTCTGGAGCAGGACGAGAGCGGTGGAAGTTACGGAAGAATGGAATTTGGTACGATGAAGTGCATATGCGATAAAATGGGGGAGCTTTACTTGTGAGTTAGAAGGGGGATACTTTGGACAAGCAAAAAAATGGGGAATAAAGAACACACAGCCGCAAAGCCTGCTCACGGCCGTAAAATGGGTCAGAAGGTCTTGTTGTAGGTTGAGTAGACTGAGGTTTGGGTGGCGCCTAGGGCATCATCATCCACACAGTGCACCATCGAGAGTACTGATCTGTGAGACGGCAACATCGGGGAAGTGAAGTGGAGTGGAACGAGTCGAGTGCAGTGATATGATTGTGTATAGTATGCCGCGGCCGCAGATACGGCTCCGGTACTCCTCTAATATCTTGTCGAAGGGCATTAACAAGCGTGCAGGATGGCGTTGGTGTGAATGGTATGGTTATCTGTTATTTGAGGCGCTGGTTGCTGCAGTGCATCACGATGTGTGGTGTAATGGTGGGAACCGCAGTGCTGAGCCTGGTGTCCGTTGCCTGCAGGCCGTGCCGCTGAATTTTGCGTGACATGGCGGCGCCGCAATAGGGCTAAATCACTATTAAGATTTGAATGGCGTGAGTGAAGATGCACACCTTGACGAGTGATACTTCTCGATGCACGGTAGTTATGAGTGGAATCACGATCACGAGTGCCAATGCCCAGCGACACGTGAATATCAATGCTCTGCGCCACTGGGTCGTCAAAAGCGCGTGCTCTCAAACTTTTCCCGAACTTCGAAGGTTTAGTATTGAGGCTCCAAGTTCAGCACTGTGCATCCCCAGCAAGGCAGTGCCGTCCGTAATGTGTCTATTCGTCGTCGTCGAATCACAGGTAATAGTATTCCCTCAGGCTCCATGTGTAAGCCTGCTGCTTACGAATATCATTCCACGTGACTGTTCGATCCCCTCATATCATCATGTCCTTTGTTTATCGCAGACTCGGGTCTCCTACATACCACCATATTGCTCCCCTGTATCACGCTATCAATTTCACGGTTTTGTCCTATTAGTCCTCGCCCGATCTTTCTTAGTGTTTCCTGCCGCCACCACGGCAGGGTTCCACCATGTCAGTATTTGAACTCTGTCACAAACACAAATGCTACCATAGCTGCGCATGCGCGACAACTCCGCCGCGCATCTGCTCAGCCTTGGTGACGGCCACAACATCAAGCTGAAGCGAAGATGTTGCACAGAGTCTGGGGTCTTTTCATTGTGAATGACGTGAGGGTGTCCGCACTTTTTGCGCTCAGGGTTTGAAGTTGTTCAAAGGAACCGAGAATGAACTCCTTTGTTATTCGCTCCAGCGAGGGATATAAATTTGGACGCACTGACGATTGGTCTCCCTTGAAACACCCTTCGATGTCTCATCCAGTCATATCAGAATTCGACATTATTTTTGCTGGAGGCGAGTAGTAATACATCTTGCATTGATGGTGCTTCTCTTGACATAACGCTGTATCGCGGTTCAGGCGGTACCACAGCTTGTGTCGTCGCAGGCCGCCTGGCTGCATGGGACCCCTCGCTTAGTATCTTAATTCTCGAAGGGGGCAAACACACGCTTAATCAAGCTGCGTATGTGCAGCCTTACCGATTTGCAAGCCACTTTGTGCCTACAAGTACCACCATGACATTCAACGTTGGAAATCCAAGTCCACGTCTCAACGGTCGTGCTCCGATCGTTCGGTCCGCCCATTGCATTGGTGGAGGGTCAAGTGTGAATAGTTCGTAGCGTTCTTGACTAAATAACATGGCTCTGACTCGGAAATGTTGACTCGGTCAGCTATGTCTTACACTCGTGCGGCTGCGTCAGATTTTGATGACTGGGGGAGTCGATGGGTGGGGATCTAAGAACTTGATTCCCCTCATGAAGAAGGTCCTTGATTGAATCATCTTTAATTTCTCAAGCTGAACTATTCATTGCTTAGCTGGAGACATATGAGGTGCTGCCCGATCGCCCAACCCACGGGTACGGTGGACCTATCAAAGTGTCTTATGGTGGGTGCAAACTAGGTGTCACCGAAGAGTTTATCCGTGTTGGCACGACGTATCACAAGAGGAAATATGTCGAAGACACTGATGATTTAGAAACATGTAACACATACAGTGTGCGCCACCTGATTTTCTTTCTCTGTGTGTGGAGTCCGCTAACGAGATCCATTTCAGTCATGGGCGAAGTGAGCTTGTGCTCGTCATCTATTTGTGAATTGACCTCATAGATAAGAAGGTACATTGACGGGACCACCGGAAGGCGTTCTGATGCAGCCCACCACTATGTCTACAACCAAGCTCACAATGCAAATTTGCAGATATGGGTCGGCAAGCGCGTGAAGCGCGTGATCTTCCAGTGAGTATTGCACACCAAGTTGGATTGCAGCCGTGCCCGACTGCTGATGTCTTTTTCGAATGAAAGAGATAAGCGCGCCGTAGGTGTCGAGTTCACCAGCGATCCAGTGTCTTGCCCAGACGCAGGTCAGTCATCAAGCATCGTAAGAGCATCGAAGCTTGTTGTTGTCTCTGCTGGGGCGTTCGGCTCGCCGGTCATTCTCGAGAGGTCTGGGATCGGTGCCGAAGCGATTCTCAGGCGGGTGCGATATTCAGCAAGTGGTGGACTTGCCTGGCGTCGGAGAAAAACTATCGCGGTCCGTGTTCAACCATTGATCTCGTAATGTTAACTTAGGGTTAAGAGATCACAACATCGTCTTTCTTCCATACTTTTGTGCTGACGGAGCTATTACTATGGACCCCCTCTGGCGTGGGGAGGAGAGTGTTGTCCAGGGTAAGCATGTTCTCGTCATATTCTGAGTCCCTTTGAAATATTATAGAAAACATGGCGCAATGGAAAATTGATGGCAAGTCACTTATTGCCCAAAAGTTGGTACAAAACCTTCAATGCTGGTGATGTATTGATTGGCGTTTCAGTGGAACCGATGCAAAAATCAAATGGCGTCCTGACGACGACGAGCTGAAAGCCATGGGTTCAGCCTTTCAACCACGATGGAAAGAGTTCTTCCAGGACCGCCCAGACAAGGCTGTTGCAATATTTGCTCTTTCTGAAGGGTGTGTGCACTATATGTTGCTTTGATGACTTACGAATGCTCACAATAACCAGATACGCTGGGCCACTCTCGAGTATCCTTCCTCCTCGCAATTACCTGGCTGCTTTCTATTTCACAGTACTACCCTCATCTACTATCCCGTAATCTTTATTCTGAATTTTCCAATAGTTATACCCCGCGTCTGCCGGCAGTGTTCATATCAAATTGGACGAGAACGGCCAGGAAGGAATCGATTTTAATACAGGCTACCTGGATGAGTGAGTCGGCAATTTCATCTCACTGAATACTACTATAATCCACACAGTCCATCCGATATTATACCTCTGAACTTTGGGTACAAAAAGATGCGCGAAATTTTTCGACGGATGCCTTCATACAGAGGTGAAGTCCCCGCCGGCCATCCTTGTTTCCCAGAGGGAAGCGCTGCAGTCTGCAGAGAAAACGACCGGTCCGGTGGACTTGAATGCGCCTGACTTAGTCTACACAGCAGAAGATGACGAGGCGATCGATCGATACAATCGTGACTGCGGTATGTCGCATCCCTATCATCATGTTAAAATACTGAATCGATACTCAGTGCAATCGACATGGCATTCGGTATGTGCAGCTGAAACTTTCATGCTTTCACATGAGGTACCTGAACCTTGCGTGTGTAGCTCGGAACTTGCGCCATGAAGCCGAGGGCAGATCAAGGGGTTGTTGATGCTCGGCTAAACGTCTACGGCGTGACAAATCTCAAGGTTGCGGACATGTCTATTGCGCCGAAAAATGTTGGCACAGTGGGTACTGGTCAGGGATCATCTGACATACAGTCTAACCGTCTCTCTAGAACACATATTCGACAGCACTTCTTATTGGAGAGAAGGCTGCGATGATCATTGCTGACGAGCTGGGTATTGAATGCAGACCATACAATGAGTCGTCGTAGAAAAGTCCTGGATCACGTCTGTGATAGGCGTCTTCGTAGGAATGATCATCACTTTACGTGTCAATCATTGATACGCAATGAGGACGCGTCTCAAAATTGTGAGGACAATATAAGGATTGACCTTCTGGCAAGGATCGGCACGCTGTCGGCCTTTCCCTTCCAGGCGCGTCTTGCGTACTGGTCAGTACTAGTTGCTTGCCCTAGACTCGTAAGCAGCCGGTTACCTTGCGCGGGTAGCAGCCACAACACCAGCTCCTGAATTTTGGGTGCTCGCGAACTCGAACAACCGAGCGAGGGTCCAGTTGAAATTGCAAGCCTTCATTGGGTTACTGATGTTATGGCCTGTCGTCTCTGGCATACCTGTCTCACCACCTTACGTATCTGCTGCCAGATCTGACCAATGAGGACAATGCTCCAAGTGCACTCGTGTTTCCGAGTCAACTGCCAATGCCATGGTCACCACCCCAAAGGTATGGAGAAGAAATTCTCTCAGAAGATTGTCCACTCAAAAGCATACAGCCGCTGTGCAGAAAACGACCAACTATATTGCCTTCATTCATTGGTTCCCTCATACTCCTGCTGGCAGCATAGTACCTTTGATCCCGGGCCTGTTCTAAATCAGCATGGAATCACGGACCACATGGCATCAAATTGCTGGATTCTCATCAACTTATCGAATACAATGCCTCTTATGGTTTTGATGTTTGCAAGGTACAAGCTCCTGTAGTCGGTGCTCGATTACAGGATATGGAGACAATGATACGAGATGGAGGTTTTTGGAAGTGCACACAGGCTGCTGCTGCTGCTATGGTAAGGTTGTCCACCCATTTAACAAGAAGTACTGTCTCTGGAGACTTGTGGTACTGATCCAAGTAGCCACCAAGCACATTGGTCACAGAAAAGTTGAGGCTAGGTCCACATTCTTTAAAAGAAATAGGACCTTTGTCATGCTGACCCATGTGCACTTCGAGTTTGCGGTTCAGTGCACCAATGGGACCATGATCCTCGATCTTCTCGTCATCCAAGGCAAAGAAGTTGAAGCTGTACTGTGTGATTGAAGGGTCCGCATAAGGAATGGTTTCGGGGAGATTTCGGAGATAAAGAGATAGTATTAGCTGTAGTTTATTTCTCATTTCACAGTTCATGGTTGAGAATGTGGTCATTTGATGGCCTAGCCAGTGTAGATTTTTTGCGAGATTCACAGATTCACAGATTCACAGATTCACCATCATGGAGACACCTGATTGGCAAACCCCCTAATTCACCCTAATTCACACCCCCAGATTGCCTGTCCGAGATTCACATGCTAATCAACCCTAGTAATTCACAGCCTGGTAGGGAACTGCACGGGTAAACCCGCGGGTATGGACAGTCCAACCCATACCCGTTGTCTTGATAACTGAGGGTCTTATATAAATACATGTAAGAATGTAATGACACCACAATTACACTTGATAAGACTTCTTGCCAGTCCTCGATTAACACAGTCTACAACTTTTTCTTCTTTCATGGTAGATAACATGTGAGTTCTTGGGAGGCTCGCTAAACCAATCAATTAGATTAACTTAGCCGGAGCTTTGTTACAAAATGGACCCAGGGTATTACCCGTGGGTTACTATGAGGAGCATTGTAATGAATAGTACTACACAAGTGAAATACACACCTTTAAGTTGACAAGTGGGAACAACCAAAAATGAGTGACAACGGGCTCAAATGAGCAGGGACAAGACACTATAAGTGGTGCCAAGCGAAAACGCACCAGGGCAGGTGCAGACAATAACAGACATGCAGAAATGAGTGGCATCCAGCACATACAAGAAAAAATGAGTAGTGGCAGGTGCAGGCAAGGGCAGGCAAGCAAACACGGCACCAAGCGAAAATGTGCAGGGGCAGGTGCAGACAAGTGCAGACATGCAGAAATGAGTCAGCGCATACAAGCAAAAATGAGTAGTGGCAGGGATGGGCCCAAATGAGTCCAGGCAAGTCCAAATGAATGCAGGCAAACCCAAATGAATGCAGACAAGTCAAGGGGAGTGGAAATGAGTGTAGGAAAGTCCAAACAAGTGTAAATGAGCCCAGATGGGCCCAAACGAGTGCAGGCAAACCCAGACAAATGCAGACAAGTCAAGGGGAGTGGAAACAAGTGCAGGCAAGTCCAAATGAGTGCAGATGAGCCCAGACAGGTCCAAACAAGTCAAGGCAAGTCCAAACAAGTCCAGGCAAGTCCAAAAGAGTCCAGGCAAACCCAGATGAATGCAGACAAGTCAAGGGGAGTAAAAACAAGTGCAGGCAAGTCCAAATGAGTGCAGATGAGCCCAGACGGGTCCAAACAAGTCAAGGCGATGTGAAAGAGAAATAGCGACTAGGCAGTTAGAAACTAGCGCTACTTATCCAAATAGGCGTGAGTGTAGTATTCGACCCAAGAGGACTGCTATTGAAGCAACTCCCTTCTAATATGCAAGGGAAGCGATAGCACGAAGGACTAATAACCTATAGTGACCTAAGACCAAAAACTGATGAGTAGCGCTATAGCGATCAGTGACTAGCGACTAGTGAGTTCCAACAGAGAAACGTGCGTATACGTGAGTAGCGCTATGCAAGTTGTTTTATGCAATAGCGCTATGCGACGTCCGACTAGGGACAGCGAGAAGAAATCAAAGGAAGGGAAAGCGAGGAATAAAGTAAGACAGCGCAAGTGAAATGCCTGATAGTGACTAGATTATAGCTCAACTGCTGATAGCGATCCCGACGTTGCAAAAGTCAAACTTATGAGGGAACTTTAGCGACGTGCACTTAAAGCAAGTCAAGCGACACGCGATCAGAGAGATTGGCAAGAGCGGAATTGATTGCACCAAGACTAGGATATAGCGACTAAAGTGACTCCGACACCAGCAAAGGTCCGGGGGAAGGGAAGTACTGTACTGTATGTGCGATGGGTCATTATATCATACTGCATAAAAGTTCGGGAATGTGTAGGCGAGAATAATAGCGACACTTGCGAGGGCACAATGTAGCGACAGGTAATAAAACATGCTGCGCTGTGGAACACGAGGATACATTTAATAAGACCTGTGACTGATGAGTAGCGACATTTAAGGAAAAATAACGCACCAGCAGAGGTAGGTGGACATAGGCAGGACATGGGAGGATGAAATACCTAGGCGTCGGACCAGGTAGTGCACTATGGGAGAACAGTGGTTCCAAAGTGGATAGCTTGGGAGCTCTATAGCACTGGTGACTAGCGCCTTACTCTTTTCCTCTAGACAGGGCAAATTATGCCTATGACACTCATATGCACCTAGCACTGGTATGATTGTCACACCGGGGTAGCGCGCTATGGGAGAAAAGTGGTACCAAAGTGGATAGCTTGGGAGCTGAATAGCGCTGATGACTAGCGCCTTACTCTTTTCCTCTAGACAAGGCAAAATATGCCTATGACACTCATATGTGCCTAGCACTGGTATGATTGTCACAGCAAGTCCAAATGAGTCCAGGCAAAACCAGATGAATGCAGACAGGTCAAGGGGTCAGAGCGAGTGTAGACAAGCCAGAACAAACCAGAACAAGCCAGAAAATGAACCTGAGTGAGTGAGAGAAAGTGCAGACAAGTCAGGACAAACCAGAACAAGTTAGAATGGGTGTACACGGGCTGAAATGAGTTCAGTAAGGGTGAGAACGAATACATGCATGAGAACGAAATATGCGTCGTATGTGAGTGAAAGATTACTACCAAAATGGTAGTGCGGGTACGTGGGTACTACTGTACGGGTATGGGTAAGTCCACAGGTCTGAAAATGTCAACCTGTACCCGTACACGTGACCTGCATGGGTTACCCATACCCGTGCAGTTCCCTATGTGCTTGTCAGCACTCAGAACACTGGTGTCATGAGTGGTCTGCTCCTACAAACATGAGTGCCCCAAGAACTCTGAGTTGGTGCTGTTGTGCTTAATCATCATCTTCATCAGACTCAGTATCGGCCAATAGCAAAAGATACAGCTAATTTTCATCACCATCATTGTTCATGGTTTGGTAGAATTGGAATATATTGTCAGAAAGTACATATCACATTCACATTGCCTGCAGTTTGGAATGAGTATCTAGATTATTTTCTAGATTTAGCCGGAACTCTGCTGTTAAGGTTTGAACACAAGTCTGGAACTCCAAATCCCGCAGGAAGTCAGCCAATATTCAAATAATTTCAAAATGGGGTGTTCAAAGTAACTGCGATTTTCACATGATTTCGCATTTTGAATCGTCCTGTAATTGCACGCTGAATTGTCTCAAAATTGTTCACTCTGACTACCACTAGTGGTGAATCCTATATCTAATTTGAGGCAAATAACCAATGGTCATTATTCAAGGAAAACCAATGGCTTTATCTGGTGTTTATGATGCTTTTGCTTGGGCAAAAGACAGAATAGTGGTTGCGCGTTTATCTTATGGTTATTTCCACCTGAGTGACACTGTTTATGTTATTACTTAGTAATGTGAGAACGTACACTCTGGTGTTACTAGTTAGAGGGAAAAGCCTATACTACAGTACTGCACCACTCACTGCGGAAATGAGAAAATAGTCCTACTCTATTCCAAGATAGATAATTTGTATAATCATACCCAAACCTGCGTCAACTAGTTAACCCCACCCAAAATCAATGTGCTGCAAATTTTGAGAGATCCTGGGAACGCCACAAATGTAAGTGGACCATTTTCCAACTTTGCCTTATCAATTTTCCTGACCTATGCTTACACCTTGCAAATACCTGCTATTCCATGACTATTCAGCTCTGCAAATCCAAGATCTCAACGTGGTTTACAGTGGACTTAGAGCAAGGTAAAACTTCGAAAATTTGTCTAAGTCCTCATTACCCAGTAAGTACTTACTACACCATGGCAGACCGCAACACCATCAAGCTTGAGCTGCCCGCGTGGGTGAGATCATTCAAGTTCACTTTCGAATGCAGAAAGCCTGGTCCTATGGTAAGTGCCATTTAGTCAAACTAAACCAATACTAACTACTATGTAGGCTATTGATGTATCCATGCGAGAGCCTCTCGACTCGGAGCTGCCGTCTGGCACAGCATGCTGCGCTGATGCCAGCGAAATACCAACAATGAAACTGGGAGTACTTACTGATTGGTTGGAAGACCAGACAGCTGTAAGTCCTTTTGTTGTTCTATCGTTTTATGATATTGAACATATATCTAGCAGCACAACTCATTTCTAGCGCAACTTGAAGCTGTCAAGGTGGAAGCTCGGGTAATTGATGATAACGAAACAGAACTGGAGTCAGAACCGCCTGCTGAAAATACCAAGTGCCTAGTTGACAATCCAGCCAAGTGGTAAGTTGTTTTGTCTGATGTCAATTCTCCTCTCGCCCTACTACCCCAGACTGACCTTCCTGTTAGTGCTGGACCTGTGCCCGACGACAGTGAGACGGAACCAGAGTCTGAACCCGAGGCACAGACACCTGTAGAATTTACCATTTGGTATGAGGCTAACAAGGATGTGCATATTTTTATTCTCTACTATGACTACTAAGTTGTTAACTGAGGTTTTTTTGCAGGGCCATGTATGGGTACGACGGAGAGGTCTCGACATCTGGTGAGCGCATGTGCTTTTGGTGATCTGGAGTCCCATCATTAAGGTGTTCTTGAAAGGACGAGAATGTGGGATCAGGCTGTCATCCAGAAGTGAGTAGCTCATTATGATTTAGCTTTGCCTTGACTGATATACTTACTGCCATGGATTGCTCTCGGCGCAGATTACCTGGGTGACTGGTGGGCCTAAATACATCGACATGCAACCCATTGTGACTGAAGCTGGTGGGGCCATGACTGGGTTGTGATGTGCCACGGATTTGGCCCTGCATGGGGTAGGCACCTGTCATACCTTGTTGCGCATGCTCTGGGCTCATTTGTGGATGGTTCGACATGGCAGGGGCACCACTCGGGCGTCTCTGAGTAGTACCATGGGGTACGCACATCACGGAGGGAGAGCAACAAGGAGGTAGGACAGCCTGCAGGATGTGGAGGATCCCTAGGTCGGCACCATATGGTACATGCTTCCTGTCTGTATGTACATCATAATCCAATCCACTTTCACTTGAAAAATCAACCATAATCTGATGTGCAAATCATTTAAATCAATATTAAAACTGAGGTCTGCTTAACACGCAGGCAACAAATCCGCGTCTGGAAATCTCATCGTTTCACAGTCGGTTTTGCATGTCAAAACTGAACCTTTCTGTATCTGCATTGGTGTACTTTGCCTCGATTTGCATTCTATGCTTTGTGTGTATTTACAGGCTATATTCGGACTCTATGCGGATCCGTTTATTTTGTCGTTTCTGCAGTGACTTACTTCAGTACTCAGCAGTGACTTCGCAGGTACTTTTTTTTTTCTTGGCTTTATCCGACAGTAGCTTAGCTGATTGCAGTGTAATCAACTTTTGGCAATGTGCGGGCTGGGTGCTGACTACTCCCGCCGCTGGCGCCAACATTCCCACAGCCTCTGCTCATCATCTACAACGATGAACACGCTTATATCACTCAATCTCACTCAAATTCAAGCGTGTTTTTTGCATGCCCTTTCTCTTATGATCCTGCTCTACTCTGGTGATGTCATTCTGGTACATTTAGCTCATTTTAGCTACATATTTGGTGAGTATTTGTGTACCTTCTCTGTTCTGGTCTTAGCAGCATGGAATTCCCTTTCTCCAGTCCTTACACTGTGTTCCAAGGGAACAGCAACAGCATAGCAGCATGGACTTCCCTTTTTTCAGTCCTTACACCATGTTCTGAGGGAATGGCACCAGCATAGCAGCATGGACTTCCCTTTCTTCAGTCCTTATATTCCAAGGGAGTAGTAATAAAGTGTTAGTGATTACATGTGCTCTGTACTAATGATGCTAATGACTACTCATTATCCCCATCATCACCTTCACTCTCACTGCTACTCTCAACAATGGCAGCACTCTTTTCTACTGTCTTTTTGGCGCACTTTTTCCATGGTTTGTAGACAGTCTCCCCGGCTGCTTGCTGAGCATGATTGCTGGTAATCCTGTCTGCAAGCTCTTCCTTGGTTAGCTTTATCCATTTACATATCAGAAAAAATCTGGTGCTATATCTCTAGCACTTATTGTTACACAGTTTACATAGCATGAGCTAATATTAGGTAACCATTCATAGCCTTCATAGCACCCCTGCCCATAGCATATGGGTTGGAGTATATACCCACTATATATCTCAAACTCACTGTTACACGGTCTATATGGCACCCATAGTTTCTGTAGTGCATGATTCAGGTATACAATACATTTAGTGAACCCTTTATGTATTACATGTCTGACTTATAGGTTACATAAAATATATCAAGACATATATAGCACACATGTTCTGTGTTTTAGTTAACATATCCAAATCATAACTTCTTATAGACCAGTCATAGTGGCTCGTGCACCTCATGTCAGAGTGGCTGTCATTGCCACATTGAAGCAGTAAGTGAGGTTAATTAATGAAGTAGTGCTAGCACTTACTTTGTAAATAGCCAGGCCAGACGAGGCCTACAGATCACTTCACTGTACCATGTTGTCCTGTTGGCAGAAATTGGCATGTAGTAAGATGTCTGACAACAAGAAGATTGCTCGTGTTGTGTGACAATGATGAATCACTCCTCATCGCCAAACTACATGCACAACCTTGTAGATGTTTTCCAGACGTATGCAAGAGTAAGCACATCATGCATTCTCCTCAAGTGCTGTTGAACCTGTAGAATGGCCAACCTTGAAACTTGGACACCAACTAATCCTTCCCTAACGAACAACCTCCAGCATATGAGTGCCATAGGCATATTTTGCCTTGCATACAGGAAAAGAGTAAGGCACTAGTCATCAGCGCTATTCAACTCCCAAGCTATCCACTTTGGAACCGCTTTTCTCCCATAGCGCGCTGCCCGGCCCTGACGCCTAGGTATTCCGTCCTCCCATGTCCTGCCTATGTCCACCTACCTCTGCTGGTGCGTTATTTTTCCTTAAACATCGCTACTCATCAGTTGCAGGTCTTATTACATGCATCCTCGTGTTCCGCTGCGCTGCATGTCTTATTACCTGTCGCTACATCGTGCCTCCATCAGTGTCGCTACTATTCTCACCTACACATTCCCGAACTTTTATGCAGTATGATAAAATGACCCGTCGCACATACAGTACAGTACTTCCCTTCCCTGGACCTTTGCTGGTGTCGAAGTCACTTTAGTCGCTATATCCTAGTTTTGGTGCAATTGATTCCGCTCTTGCCAATCTCTCTGATCACGTGTCACTTGACTTGCTTTGAGTGCACGTCGCTAAAGTTCCCTCATAAGTTTGATTTTCGCAATGTCGGGATCGCTATCGGTAGTCGAGCTATAATCTAGTCGCTATCAGGCATTCCACTTGCACTATCATACCTTATCCCTCGCTTTCCCTTCTTTTGATTTCTTCTCACTGTTGCTAGTCGGACGTCGCATAGCACTATCGCATAGGACAACTTGCATAGCGCTCCTCACTTATACGCATGTTTCTCTGTCGGAACTCACTTGTCGCTAGTCGCTGATCACTACAACACTACTCATTGATTTTTTGGTCATAGGTCGCTATAGGTTATTAGCCCTTCGCATCATCGCTACCCTTGCATATTTGAAGGGAGTTGCTTCAATAGCAGTCCTCTTGGGTCAAATACTACACTCACGCCTATTTAGATAAATAGCGCTAGTTTCTAACCAGCCTAGTCGCTATTACTCTTTCACACCGGACGAAGCTGTGAGACAGACGCTCCCACATATGTGAGACCTAGCATACTATGAGGTCAGAGTTGTGGAATTGGCTAACAAAGTACATGGGTCTCATAGAGGTAGAGTTGAAAAATAGAAGATGACTAAGCTCCGTCCATAGAGTTTTGGTAAAGGAAATGAAACATTGTAATTTAATCTGTGCAGATACATGTCACGTGATGATGTACTAATATAATCTCACCAGATAGATTGAAAGGTATGATGGTCGATGAAGTTATTAATCAAGAAGTGCTCACAGCGATCGATAACATTGCTTGATGTCCATGCAAGATTCGCCCTTTGACTGAATCTTGGTACTAACTGGCATGTTCAATATATAGAATCCACCTCAATAACTGAGGCATCTTGTACACCATTTTGGTAACTTTGGGAAATAGGGTACATCCCAGAATTTGAATCTTTATTTTGAGGTCATGAAAACCATTCGACATAGGCAAGGTGTCTGATCTGTCTCGGGAGAAACATCTTCATGATGTATTCATCTGGAATGCGGAAAACAACTTTCAGTCATGCTACTCATTTTCCTATCAGGCATTGTCAGTATTAAGATAGATAGCGAGAGTTGGATAACAGACCATAAATGCCAGTTTCTTCACTCTCACACCCCGACTCATTGATAAGAACTGTGTCAAATTGTGTGCCTAACTCTCCTATGCCACTACTCTTGAGTCTTTTTGGCTCTGCATGTGCAATGTGCAAAGCAGCAGATTTGGTATCAACTTGCAAATTCGGAACCGCAAACTTGATACGATGCCACACGTCAACTGCTTCCAAGTCTCATAAGACATTGGCATTCAAGTTGCAGGTGGCCTGTCAACGTTGGGAGGTAGGCTGAAGCTGGTTAACTATGAACTCCCCGAGGGCATCCTTAAAATGTGTTGCCCCAAACCAATTTTCCAATATGTGAAATGACATGGCATGTGCAGAAGGATTCTTCGCAAGATATATGCCAGGTGATAGAAGCCTTCGCCAACGAGCGTGGGGCTTGGGGATCTCTCCACACCTCCATTGAAGGACCAAGTCAAATGCAGCCATTGATTCCTGTCGCTCTGGCCATCTTGTCATCTGTTGCAAAATCTCCTTCTTATTGGTCGCCCTATATGCATCCTTCACATAGTCTATATGAAGCTGCTCAGTAGCTTCGGTGTTGTAGTTGTCGGTCATACCAAAGCAGCAAATGGAATCAGCATAGTGCTCAAGCAAATCAATCAATACTTGTACTGACTTGCATCCACCAATACGAGAGGGATTCCAGACTGGCAGAAGTTCAAAGGGCCAACCTTTAAGCTCCACACCATAATGTTCAACAATGGCGTGCTTGTAGTTCTTGTAGTTCATTTTCACATGGTTGGTGAGTATGTTTTCGCGCAAGATAAAGTCTGCATCAACATCAGTAACAATGAAAACTCCATGATAGAGATGGTACTCACCAAGTTTATCTTGTATGAGTGTCCGACATTCACTGACCAGCTGGTTGAGGGATTTTTTCACCTTTAACATAGTCGGTATGTCTTCAGCTGTGGGAGTAGAGCGTCATCAAAACACGTTAGTTAGAGTTGATTATAGAAACTTACCAAGGCCAGAGACAACAAATGCTTCCATTTTTAATGCCAGGTGCCGAGGCTTGAGATCCAGAACGGTTCACACAAACTTCTCAGCCTTCTCTGAAAAAAAAAGTTTGGGACCACTAAGGTCCTCAATCCCACTGTGGACAGCTACATAGAAGCCTTCCACACTGAGGCGGGAGCAAATAGCTGTCCATTGGATTATATGCCTGTCAGAAAACGAGTGGCGAAGAAAATAGAAAGTACCTCTTGGTTCATAGCAGCAAAAGTAGCCTGCATGTCACGCTGGACCGCCCTTGGGTTGTCATGGACCATGCACTGCTTGTTGGCACACATTTTCATGATCTCGACTTCATAATTGTCCTTTTGAGCACGAGAGAGTCTTGCATAGTCGATGCATAGAGTTTCTTTGTGAGAAGTGATGAACTCCGTAAGCTTCCAATTATTACCCTTTGATAGGCCTGGAAAGCAGCTAAAATTGAGTACAGATACCACATTTTGTGAAACAGAGACATGCACCTTCATTTATGTCATCCAGTCATTGACGAACAAACACATTCCATGTGTTTGAACGGCGACAACGCCAAATAGTCTGACCCCCAAGAAAAAGTTGATGTTGCGTCCAATGCTCGGAGCTAGTAGCATCTGTTGAGTACTATCCTTATGAATCATGATAGAGGTCTCACTGTCCATGTTTCCTGGAAAGGGCTTGAACCTTGCCCATGTAGGTTGCGCAAGCACCATTCACATCATCAGTGAGTGCGGCAAACTTTGCATGACGTGCAGCCTTCTGAGACATTGTAAGCTGGGGACGGACTTTCTTGACTTTGCTTGTCTTTCCATGTGCCATGATGAACTGAATAGGCAAGGTAAGTAACAAAATTTACAGCTTACATGGAGGACTATTTATTGGACAGCAGCACAGCAGTGGCACTCACTCGAAAATACGGACCTGAAAGAAGATATGAAATTCTGGCCTACAATAACATTACAAAAATTTGTACTTAGATCAAAGACACTAAAATTTGATTCAGTCATTTTGCTCCCTTGCTGAAACTCAAAACTCACCTAGATTATACATAGCAAACAAAAGAGCCAATTTTCTAGGCTCAAGCACCAAGTTAGCATCAAGAACATGTGCCCACTGCATTTCCTCGAAGCCTTCCCTTTGAAGAACACAAGAGTGAATCTCATGGACAACATCATGTGGAAGATCATGCAGGGCAAGGATAGCCTTTATGTCCTCAAAGGTAGGAGTGTTTGAGGTACCAACACAGCCATTCAAACATTCAGTGCCAACCAAACCTTGAGGCAACTGACAAATTTTGGCCATTGCACCAGGGCCCAATGCATCAAGTGATGTCAAGCAAGATGGGCCACCAGTGGTGTCTCTAGCATAGACACGAGGATAGGTCTTCGCAGGCATGAGCTCTTTAGTGCCTGAGTGTGACTTTAAGTGATCCTGTCAAAACAAAATGGAAGGCACATACCATCATTAAGTTTAAAAGTGATTTGCTCAACATTGGAGGCTGCATTAGCTAAGCAGTGAGGGATCAGATAACAGCTGATGCAGCCATCGATAATGACTTACAAGCGGTGGGGTGCTCTTTTGAAAGGGCTGGTATATCATTGGATGTCATGTCTGTCATGGTAGCATCTGGATGAGAATCAGTTAACAACGAGGCAAATGAAAACAAAAAACTTACTCCATCATAGTCTAGTAGGTAGATCAAGCATCTTCCAACAGTTGTTTGGAAACCAGGAGTCACAAATCTGAGGAAGTAAATGGTTGAGAAGAGTAGTAGTGATGTTACTCATGGTGTCAGCAAGCTTGTAGGTTGGTGGATGAGATACAGTAGCTTTTAGGATGATGTCTGGAGATTTTATGGCGACCATCTTGCATCCTTGAGGCCCTTGTTTGTACTTGTATTTTGCCGGCCATTTGAAATCAAATGTTGCATGGAATTGGATACATATGAAGTCGTGCTGAATCAACAGTGAGTACACCCAATTTCTAGAGACAGAAAGAAAAAGCGCACCAGTGCATCATTATCAGTGCCAACTGCAAGGTCTAAATAGTGAAGGTGGTGGAACAGGCTGAGGCAGATGACCATTCAGGCCGCTTGATTCTGTCGTGAATGTGGATTTTTGAGTAGACATAGTCAAAGTTGCGCAATTGCAGAAAGCAACAGACTTGAAGGATACAAAAAGCAAGAGTGAAAATGAGATTGAAAAGGCGTCCAGCTGGGAGGTTTGAGACTCTCCTAATTAATAACTGTGACATGTTGCAGACAGTCTGCAAGTGCAGGACAAAGCGAGATATGTATATGAGGTGCAAATGCACATGTAGCACACATGTAGTTGCAATGTGGCATACAAACATCACATCAATCTAAGATTGATTCAATCAGTCGATAACTAATACACCCATCAATTTAAGATCTTTTGGATTGTATACTTTCTAGCACAGGTACTCCTTCATCTTCACAGCATAGCAGCATGGACTTCCCTTTCTTCAGTCCTTACACCATGTTGCAAGAGAACAGTAACAGTGTAGCAGCACAGACTTCCCTTTCTTCAATCCTTACACTGTGTTCTGAGGGAATGGTAAATGTGTCAACAATCCTCAAATTTGTGCATGATACTACAACAACATCTGCTGAATACATAAGTCAAATCGCACTGCCTCATCTCCTTCTGATTCATCTTCAATCATCTCTGCCAAAACTTTGTCTACATCTGATGAGCCATCTGCTGTGATCATGTCAGAAGGAACACAGCCAGTAAATCCTTCAAGTGAATATATATGATTGATGTGAACACGGTGCACATTATTGACCCTCCGCTGCTGATGATACAGCCTCCAAATTTCTGATGCAAGTGGGGGGTTAGTTAGCTCAAGCTCAGTGGCCACATGTTTGATGTCAGAATCCTCAGCATTGATCCAAGTGTGCAAGCAGCAGATTTCAACATTGAGTTGAATAATCTCCTCACGAGCTCAGAGAATCTTGAAGTACTTGACGGCCATCCCACAATGTGTGGTATTGCTCCAAGGCTTGGTCAGAATATCATGTCACAAATGTTTGAGGATATCAAACTTGCCAAGGGCCACATAAGACAGAACCTCACTATATTGTAGTGTTGGCCTTCGCAAATTTTGTGTGACAGCAAGCTTGTTGTACTTGTCCAGTGCTGTATGAATTGCACCCAATCGTTTGATGATGGCTCAAGATATTTGTCGTCAAAGTTTATAGCCTGTGAATTATTTTGTCAGTAGAATGCATTGATCAACATTAACTTAGTACTGGTTGATGAGAGATTAGCTTTAGACAACTCAAACAAGTGCTGAAGGACGAGACCCTCAAGATCTTCAACTATGTGAATGAATTGCTGTCGTCAGCTATATTGAAGTGTCTCCCAATAGTCTGAATACACAGGTGTCCACCATTCAGCAATGTCGAGGCGAGTCTCTAGATCCTCAACAACATTGATTTGAATTTGAAGACAGCAGCTCCACTGCACGCCAAGTCACTTGTGCCTGCTTAGTTGATTGTGAAGCTGCAACACTCAACCCAGAGTCAGGTGTGAATGATGACGGCAAGTACGTCAAAAATTGGTCCATTCTAAATGAGTCAAACTGTTGTCTGAATTGATTGTGAACTTTAAAACATGCACAAATGAAGTAAAATGAAACTTACTGGTATGTGTTGAGCTTCTCAAGCGCTTCGACGTAATTGACTGTGAGAGTGTCACGTGCAGGCTCTGATGCAATGGACTCCATATATGCGAGTTCTTCGGTTACCCAAGTTTTGAGATCCATGGCCTGGTCAGGAAGTGGTAGACATTGAGTTCTTGAGTGAAATCATTAATCAGGGTAACCACTTGTTTGTAGTTATTGAAAATAAAGCGGCCTACATTTCAATTAGGTCAATCAGAATTACTAGTCAGATGAAATGCTCACTGAGTTCCAAATATTTATCCATGTCCCATTGGTCAAAATGCAAGTCTAGGAACTGATGATAGTGAAAATGTGATGCATGACAAATGAGGCATGCTGTGGCATTTGAACTTGCAAAAATATGTTCACAAGTTTCGAGATCTTCAAGTCTGACACCACATAGGTACATGGGGTGATACTGCAGCTGGCATTTGCGGTTATGAGCGTGTCCATGGAATGCATTCACCGACAGCGAAAAGTTTTCAATTCGCAGCTTTGTCTCGTATAGAGCTGGCAGCAACTGTCTTCAATAAGCTGCAACTGATATTACTACCAATGGCTTGATTCTCACCGAAGATGTCGAGAAGCTTGTTTATGGTCGTGAGAGGATATTTCGCACTATTGAGAATCATTAGCAACATAACATTAAATTGTACTGATTACTTACAGCTTGCCACTGCGACACATCTTAGTGACTGTTTGGACAATTCCATGTCGACACGCAGAGAGGAAGATACCAGTCTGTTCAAAAACATGGACGGTGTTCTCCTCGGTTGAGTTAGTGGCTTTCCAGTTGTCAGTACATAACATTAGTTGATCGGCTCCACATTCACCAGGATGTAGTTGCACATCATCCTTGAACATGTCAACTTGATCCAGGGGAATCATGTATCTGCTGGGAAAGATGCGGGGATCAGCACTGCCAGCATTTGCCATGCGTTTTGCGGAATTGTTCCCATCCATCGCTTTGAGACTGGCAGGATACAGTGGACATTCATTAGGTTGCTGTTGAAATAGATTAGACAATGATCTGTTTTTAAAATAACACTGACCTCAAACATGCACGGTGGACAACCATGTTGAAGGTAGACATTGAATGTGATTGAAAATTGATAACGAAATCTTTGCGCGTAATCGACCTAATTATTAATTAGAATGCTGTAAGTCCATGTACAAAAAATGACTTACATTATGTATTGTGCACAAAACCTTTGTGAATGCCTAGATACTGAATGAAGACTGCCGTTGTTGAAGCTGATGATAGAGCTCAAGACATTGCAAGCTAATTGCAACAGTTGGTGCAGTAGGAGAGCAGCCGAGTAGACCCACATGCAATAGAGACACATTCACGACTTCTTCATCCTGTGGCATGATATCATGAAAATAGTCTAGTTCTAGAATTTGTAAGTAACAAGATCATTTTAATAATAAAAAACATACCAAAGACATGCATCACTGTGACCTGGAACTTGTGAGCCGAAATTTGAGCGATGTTGAGTGAATTGTTATGCTTCCAAGTGAGATACGTGTTTGTTAGTGCAGGCAGCTGTAAGTGCCATGAAGCATGCATATTGGCATAGTGGGCTTCTTGTGTCCATTGGTCACTATGGTGTTTTGATGAGCTGCAGTAACCTTGATTAGCTAGAAAGACTGAGTAGAAGCAATACAATATGTACCTGTTTCCTAGGCAGAGAGTAGCTGGGATTCAACTGAGTAACGGTCCTCATTGCTGGCGCTGTCCGTGTCCATGTCCATGTCACCATTGCTGCCATCTGAATGTTGCAGCCATTGTAAGACTGGTCCATCATATCGAGACTTGACCCAGCTTCCAGTGAAGCCTCCGCAGCGAGAGCAGCCTGCTGTGTGCGACATTGATCTGCTCATACATCGCTATAAGAACGAAAAAAGACTGATATGTACACTCACCTTGGGCTTGAAGTTGTAGCTCTCTCTCGGCTCACAGTGTCTTACTAGGATGTGAAAGGCAAGAAAACTCTCCAAATTTCACAATCCTCCACGGTCAACGGTTCAGACAATTACCAACGGTTGATAATGTGGTCGTTCGTGGGGGACGAGGTGTGTTGAACTTTTCAAGCGAATGCTAGTGATGTAAAAGGGGCAAAGAACGATAGAAACCAATAGTAACACAAGATAGTGCTATAACCTTCAGAATAATGTGTTGCAGCTGTATGCAATGAACTAAAACTATACTATATCCCTCTTGGATATTCCTTACTTATACTTCAGCAATGGAGAACAAATTCACTAGCAGGATTGTCCCAATACATGGCCTCAAAACCAACTCTCTGCTGCTCAGGATCTCACAATGAGTAATGACGCAGTCCAGAATAGAGTACACCTTCTTGATGTAGTCTTAAGTGGCCAAGCTCTTAATATTCGTTGACAGATTGTAGGTCTTATTTGTGTCTACCCTAATTGATGAATAATACGTGAAATTCTCTCCACAGAACTTTCCTGTGTCTAAAAGAGAACTAGAATGATTGAAGACGATAGAATCAAAGATGGCTCAAGAATGTGGCCAAATACTTCTGAAGAATGTGCTTTAAGAATGTGCTTTAAGAATAATGTGGATTGAAGATTATGTAATCAAATGTGGCTCAAGAATGTGGCCAGATACTTCTCTCGAAAACAACACGGTCCGTTTGCGGGCGTGACGCTTCGGGTTTCTCCGTTTCGTCCGATGACGTGAGCGATGAACATCTTTCTTGCTTCGATCGCGGGGTGGCGCAGACCCCCGGAACCGCAGCCGCAGATTGAACGTCGGTCTCAGCCCCGTTCGTCGTCGTTGTCGTCGTTCCATTGGGCCGTTTTCTGCTGTACGTTCTTTGGCTAGGATGATTGCTGACCACCCGCCTGCTTTTCCCCAGATCAATATCCCTCTCGCTGTCCTCCACAGCGAGATCGCACGCAGGAACGAGTCAAACGACTCTGCAAGCCCCTCAGGAGGCCTGCACGTGGGCGGAGCGCTCATCCTCGTCGCTGTGTTACTCTCTCTCGGCCTCCTGGTCACCTACCACTGGTGGAGGCCAAAGATCCCTGTCAACTCGTTCTGCAACTGTTGTCCTTGCCTCATTCCCATCCGCCATCGCGACCGTGACGTTGGAATGACGTCCATTACTACTTTGACGCCCTCTCCTGATCTCCGCACCCAGCTCACCACTGCTACAGCAGGGTCTACTGCTGAACATGGGTCTTTCTGGAGCGTGGCTGGCACGGTCGAAAATGTCGATGGGCCATCAGGGTCCCTGCCTCTCCCGCTCCGCTTCGATCGGATGGAGAGCCAGAAATCGAGCATGTTGAAATGTGAGGCTGTTGTTCCCCTTTCCTTTGCTTTTCGGTGGGCTGAATCCTTGCATCATGCAGCTACAGTATGGCTGGAAAAACCCTGAAGCAAAAGTGTGTCCAACTTGGCCTCCCTACCTCTGGTAACAAGACAGTCCCTTCGCGAACGACTGGAGGAATTCAGTCGTAACCGCGATGCATGGGACAGGTGCGTCGGAGCAGTCTGCTCAAAATAATGTTCACTCATCCATCTCCTTCCCAAGGCTCAAACCAGGGGCTCACAAGGCCCACAAGGGCCCGCGAGTGCGTTCGACGAGCAAGCCCAAGGCAGGCAGCCGCCCAAAGCAATCCATGCAGCGCCGTGGAGCAGCTGCTTGGCACGACAGCATCTGATGCTGCAGCCACTGACGTCAGTCGGTCCAAGGACACACGGACGGCACCAGAAATCAGCGCACTGCTGCCTTGGGTGAGTACTTTCGTGCTCACTCTGGCTTTGTCCCACTGAACTGAATACACTGGCGGGCAGGCTGATACCATCACCAGCATGTATCCGTATGCACTGACGGACGGTATGCCCATGCCAGCAAGCACCCCAAACCCGCCTGCTCTTAGCAGCAACACCACGCGCAATCTTTCCCTGCTGATGGCCTCTTGGAAGAGGCCATCATCCAGAACGTGGGCACGAGGCTTGTCAAAATTGTTCAAGGTGCCCTCCAGCCAAGCGCTGCTGGTTTGTCTCCATCTGTTCGACCCCAGGTGGCTGAAACGGTGGACATGGTGAGTGGCTATTTCCCCCACATCGCTCCATTCAAACTGACGGTAGCATGTTTGAGCAGGGTGCGAGTGGCGCAGCTACAACTGCCTGCCAACAACCTCCTTTGGAACCAGGCAGCTTGAACAAGCTGCGCATTCTCAATCTCGGGGACGGCACTACTCTCCAACTGGCAGATACGACATCCCAGATCCCCCTGCTGTCAGCTTCGCCAATGATATACTACGTCTCAATGCAATGTGGGACGACCACACGACGCACTGGAAGAACGAGTCCATCATCACCATTCAAGGCCACCCCATCGCTATCACGTACTGGCCATTGCTCTACCGCTACGGTCATGATCAGCAATGGAAGGGTACGAAAAGCAAGTGGACCGACTGGCTGGGTGAGTGCCTCTATCACAACTTCCCTTCCTACTTCTGATCCTCCTTCTGGTTGTGCAGGATGTCATCGAACGCTACAGGCGGGGCACCCCAGATCAATTCTGGGCAGACTTTACGGCTGACAATGGTGAGCGGATGAAATTCACTGCCCATTGTCCACAAACTTCGTGATGAGCGCAAGGCAGAACATGCTGCACTGGTGGAGCGTGCTCACCGAGAATTCCATGCCGAATTCGACGACCTTTTCACTTACCGGCGAGGAGGAGAGGAGCATGTGATGACGAAGCCATCTGCCATTGCGAAGAAAATACATCGAATTGACGACTGGACTCGTGGTCCGTGACTGACGATGGACAGTAAACTAGTAGTAATACCAATAGCTTTCTGTGAATAATGATCAATGCTACACGTTCTGTTGACTTGGAGGCTCGGAGTAAGCTTGTGTGCGTGTGTGTTTGTTTGAACACATTGAGGAAAAAAGGGGCCCATACTTCAAATAAGGGGCTCTCGCTTCAATCTCACCATCTCCCATATCAACCATAACTACATCGTACACCAGACTCATTCAAACACAGGCAAGGTAGGCCTCATGGATGACAGTACCACGATACTGACAGATCAGAATAGCATCCACAAAGCATGTCAACACCAGTCAACAACAACGATACTAAAACTAGAGTGATGGGCGACGGTGTGTTATGCAAGTCCAGAGCCCGAACTTATGATGGATGTGAGATACACGACAGTGATGTTAGGCACTTTGCCCAGCTTGGCTTCGCGCTGTCAGTCAAGGACCTCGCAAAACAACACGGATTTCATGAAAATGCTATTCGGAACGTTTACATGCAACTGAACGGCTATGCAGAGGCAATGGAAGTCATCGAGGAGATGCGGGATGCTGCAGAGGAGAAAGCTGTGGCCGCGATACTGAAAAGAAAGGAGGAGGACATCAAGGAAGAGGAAGAGGAGTAAACATTCAATGCCATCAATACAAGTAGTATCTATGTCCCAGCCCGCTACAATATGACACCTTGAAGTTTTCCTCCAGCGTCCGAGTCAAAAGGTCCTTGTCGACACCTTCACAATCAGTCTTTGAAGTTCTTCCTCCAGTGTCCATCCAGTCTTTAAAGTTCTTCCTCCGGCGTCCATCAGTCTTTAAAGTTCTTCCTCTGGCGTCCAAGGTCAAAATTGTGCAAGCAGACAATCAGTCTGGAAGACGATGTGCACCAAACCACTCTGAGAAGGGCTTCCTCCAGCGTCCAAGGTCAGAATTGCGTGAGCAGACAATCAGTCTGAAAGATGACGTGCACCAAACCACTCTGAGAAGGGCTTCCTCCAGCGTCCAAGGTCAAAACTGCACAAGAAGACAGTCAGTCTGGAAGATGATGTGCACCAAACCACTCTGAGAAGGGCGCCTACAGTCTTCCTTCCTCGAAAGCAACACCAAAGATGGAGGACAAGGACTTAGGATCTGGGGCCCGAGTTATGAATATTGATACCACAGGGGATCACCATGCTAAGAATCTGCTTCCCGGACCACATGGGTTTTGGCACGATGATAACAGGTATTGGTATACTGCCGTCTCAGCCAGGGACCTACAACAAGATGTTCTGAACCTGGTTCCAGTCCATGGGGAACCCATGCTATTTGCGACAGTTCAGCATATGTTTCACTCCGTGGAATGCCCAGGATTCAGCGTCCAAGGCCAAGAGAGTCCTTGTTGACACCTTGCGTGAACAGACAATCGGTCTTCGAAGTTCCTCCAGCGTCTGAGGCCGAAATAGTCCTTGTTGCTAAGAAAATGCGCTATACAAACAGTGACTGGTAAAATGCAAGGCAAAGAAAGGGAAAATAATGTAATGTAGTACGGACGGCGAGCAGAGTTTAGCCACAGGAACAGCATCTCCCGCACTGAGAGCACTTCACCATCGGCCGTCTGTTAGGGTTCAGGAATTGCTCCCTTGGCTCAGTGGGTCATCATTCGAAGAAATGAGATACTTCACGATTGTCATGTTCGTAAATTCCACACTCCACCCTCCCCACTCGCAGATTCTCCGCAGTGACCAACGCTTCTCGACATGCAGGAACTGGCACCCCCCCCTCCGGAACGAATGTGTGCCATATGGAGTAGGGTCGATGTCAACATCGAGGAGGTTGTTCCGAAAAAGCTCCAGGAACTGCTCAGAGGACTGACGAGTTGAGCGTGAATCATAGTAAGCTGTCAGACAATTGACATACCATGGGACTATTGGCCTCTGAGATTCGGTCACCTGAAGCAATCTTTCGAAAGAGGTAGCCCGACGTGACTTTCGACTCCTTCAGCCAGGCAGCAAGTGCTCTCACTGGGCAGAGGTGTGCCTCGGACGATGAAAAGGGCCAGAGGTGAAACGGTTTGATGTCTAGGTAAGTGGGCACATCCATGAGTCAATAGTTCACGGTCAAGAGTGGAGTCACATACCGCCATTTTGATGAGTTTTGCGGAAGGGAAGGTGTAGCACTATCTGGGTATCGTGCACGCGAAGATCGTGTACCTGTATCTTCAGAACCTCGTCAAAACGAAGCATGCATATGAATGCCACAGTATAGGCAGCTGACAGAAGCCGCCGTACACGCCCACCACCCCATCGACTC